AATTTATAGTGGACAATGAGTTGTCTTTGTTTACTTTTTTGACAGAATTTCTTACTCTTTGACTCTCTGGGTGAGATGTTGGTATGTCTCAGCGATGCAGTGAGGGACACTGTAACCCAAAGCCTGTTTCCAGATGTGTTCGTAGTCAACCAACGCCCAGTCCTTGATGGTGAGCGGAGTCCGAGTACCATCCCCGTAGATAACAACCTGACGGACAGGCAGCAGAAAACGTGACCAAACAAAATCACATTTTAACCTTAAATGCTTCATTTTCAAAGGTTTCATTCAACTTTGAACTTCATTGACCGCACATTCTGAGTCAACAATGGCTTATTGCAAAGGGACCTAGTTATATGACAGAGGCGTCCAAGAAATCCAAACAAACCACAGTTTGACTGAAACAGACTAAACAGCATTGGTGTGAATGCAGCCTAAAAAACAACTCATATCAACGATCTGGCTCAAAAATGGCCGGCACATCAGTCCTACCTCATCATTAAAGGTGACGAGGGCCACCCTGCGGTGCGGCGTCTGCTGCAGCGTGAACGTTAGCGTCTTCTGAAGAGCATCCTGGATTCCCTGTTGGATGACAGCAATCCACCAAGTAATCCACAATCAATAGATTTCACACAGGGTTTAATTTAATCATCAACAACAAATTAATGTCTCACCTCTAATCTGGATATGTGAAGCATTGAGCCGCTATCGGAAGTCACCTAATGAGAAATCATAGAGAAGTGATTGTACTATGATCTTTTTGTGGTCAAACGTATGTAGGTGTTTCTACTTGCAGCTCTTTCTCTTTTTACGTAAAACAACACAACGTCCATCTTGCAAATGCATAAAACATAGAGATATGCTTAAAATGCCCTTTCAGAAGTTACAAATTTAACTACACAAGGAGAATTCAGAAGAGAGCAAAGAAAAGCCAAATAGGGCGTCCTGATTGAATCTAATGGTGTTTGTGAAACCGAAAGCAGAGAGATCGTATCTGTTGTGAAAGCCGAGTCTTTGTTGTGAGTGACTTCTTGTGCTTTAAGTGCTTCTCATCAGTGACACACACTGCCGTTTAGTCTGTTGTTATCAGAGCTAAAACGCCAGATTTTTATCAGTTGTGGTTTGTGTTCTTGGTATTTCTACAGATCGTTTACATGTTTTTTTTATTGGAGATGCTGAACATGCAGATCTTTTAGCTGTTTTCTCTCAAGTCGCTCCTGAATTCAGTTGGTTGAGGTTCAGCTACTAAATACAGACGTAGCAGAAAGGTAGACTGTATTTTAAAGTATATCTTAACATTTCTGTGAAAGTGTATCTTTGGAAAATTTGGAAAAAATTGACCCTGAGGGGCGTGGCCAAGTATAGAAAACATGTTCATGACAGTTTTGCAGTTTTTTCTTAGATAAGATTTTAGTCTCTTTTGAGCAATTGGCTTATGGATGTTTAGTCAACAACAAAACACTTGTATGTTGTACAGCTCATGCAGCGGTAAAACCAGCTGACCAAACATGCTGGGCTTCACCGGGGTTGCTAAATAACAGGCTGGGTTTACTGAGGTTGCTAGGGAACGGCGCGGTGCCTGCTGATTTTGACGTTACGTTCCGCAGGTTTTTGAAACTACTCATTTTCCAGACACCAAAACTTTTAACTTATTGCCAGAAACTATCTGCATTGGGTTTTTTACGCACTTGGCTCTTGCGTTGTTTTAAGATGTAGTAGATAATCAAATGGAAAAAACATGCTCAACTTGAATTTTGCATAATGCTTCTCATTGAAGTTTTCTGTTTTATACAAACCTCTGTAGTGACCGTCATGCTGCCAGAAATGTCCACACAGAAAACAACCATTGTGTCCTCCAGGTTCTGGTAGTCGTCTTCGCTCATTCTTGGCAGGTAGAGGTCGTCAGTACGCACACCCGCACGCTGACCGACGCACACTTGGGCCAAACTTTCGTCTACACCGTTTTCATATCCACAGAACTCGCATACCCACAACTGCACAACAGAGGACAAACTTAAAATGCTAATTTGTGTTCTTACAGGAAGGATTGTCTTTAACAAATAAAACAAAAACCTGGTTATATTGACATGAAATATTTACCTTCTTCCACACTGAGCTGAGACATGACAGCGCAGCACTACATTTCCCACAAATCACCGGGTTCTGGAAGGTCTCCAGGCCTGCATCTGCAAAACAGAAATAGGATAAACTAATGGGAAAATGATGATGTTTGATTTGTGTGTGTCCTGACCTTGGCTCATGTCAGCCAGTTTTCCAAGACCAAGTGAGATGACGTTGATGTTGACCTTAAAACGATTTTCCTCTTCCAGCAAATCAACTGGAAGAATCAAAAAATCGGTTGGAAAAGTAATTACATTTCATCCATATTTAATCTTTAAGAGTTTGATTGAGGGTCACTTACGTCTGGGAGGAACCGGAGGAGGAAGAGAGAAAGGAGTGACAGGAAGTTGAGTGGGGAGAAAAGGCATATTGGGAAGGGAAATGGGTCGAGGTTTTCTCTGGCGGCGTGGCGGCAGCGGCGGAGGACGTGGATCTGATGAAACAAAAATAGATTAAACGACTTAATTCTTCAATTTATCATGTCACTACAGAGACACCGTGATACGGCAGATTTAAACAAGATTCTTCTCTTGAGTAAATTTGATCTCGTGCAAATAAGAAAAAAAAAACAGAAGTTTGCATAACAGATAAGTTCAGTCAGCATTTCCAATGTGTACAACTTGTGAGATTTCTTCTATTTCTAACATTATATATCAAGTGGTCATGTTATATTATTTTCACATATTTTTTAAATGGTGAGAAATCTGGAAGCCGTCTGTCTTTTTGACAGCGTGTTGAAGAGGTACGGAGGTTTTGGAGTGTCTGAATTACTGGTGTTTTCCTGCTGAAGTTAGAGCTGCAGGATCAGATATTCACTCGTTTAGAAAGTCTTGACAACTTGACAACTACGCACAAGTAGGTGCACAAGTCAGGTGTGTCCTGATTTTCTTTGTTACTTAGGTTTTTTAACTTGTATTTTTAACTTGTTTCTTATAATATCACTTTTAACTTTGAACTCTTTCTGTTTCCTTCTCATGTTTTTTAACACTGCAACAACATCTTTGCTTCTTTCCGTGTATTTTTGTTGCATTGTTAAATTATTTCTTATTTATTTTGGTATTTTCTGGTTTCCTTCTTAATTTCTTTCTTGTTTAAACACATTTTGCCTGACTTTTTAATCATGCATCAAAATGACTCTGACATCATGGACTTTCCACTTGTTGAGTTGCAACCTGCACAGCTATGCAGTCTTTCTCTTCTCTTGCTTTTGCAGGCATGCCCACACACACACACACACACACACATACACACACACACACACACACACACACACCACACACACACACACACACACACACACACACACACACACGCATACACACACTTAGGCATGGAGGTTCCTCTTTAATATGCTTTCCTGTTATCTCGCTGCAATACTCTGGAGAATAAAAACGTTCACTTGAGAGAGAAAAACAACTGTTAAGAAGCACTGGACTTGGAAAATGTTGAGTTTTTGCTGAAGTGTGTGAGAAAGTCACCTGTTTGTAAAATCGTTCTGTTTTCATATTCGGGTCCAAACTGAGAATTACCTGCTGTTAGAGAGAGAATTAAAAAGCTAAATATGAAAAGCTTTGATGAATTCAACGGAACAAACAGTTCTATCAACTTTAAAGAGTTTGGTCACATTTTTGTCTTAGTTATTTAAAACTTGCTAAAGGTTCGAAGACATAAACCTTTGTTTGAATATTAGTCCTGATAAAACATTCCTCATGTTTGAGGGAATGGACTGGTCTGAGATGGGCATTTATCAGATTATCATTTATTGTGATACCATTCTTGTAAGAATTTAGATCAGTCATTGTTTTTCTTCTTTTTTTTGCACAAAGGCATCAACAAATATCTGTAAATATGGAAAATACAGTTAAATAAAGAATCTATGTGCAGTTTAGTGATATAAATCCCTTTTTTCTGCATCTGTCTGTCAGATAAAAATGAAGTAATACATAGTTTATCATTATTCACCATAGTCCTATAAAATATCGTGATATATTTCTAAGTCCATGTTGCCCAATGCTACTCACGCTTTCCATCTGGGCCCCAGTTACATACAACATGGCTGCAAGCAAACTCCATCTGGGAACCACAAAGATGGACAGAAATCTTTAAAATTTAAATTACAACTAGAGGAAGAGAGGTTGTCTGTAAGAGACAACAATAAGTCAGAACAGCAATCTGAAAATGACAGCTCAGCTTCCTGGAGTTGCCCTCACAGCATCACCACAGCATCTGGTTTGCCAATCCTGTTATTTTTCAAGCTAACAGGTGGCTGAGTAAAACCATGACAGCAAACACTTCCTCACTTCCTGTGTGAACAACAGTGAGGTGAAGAGAACAAGGCGCTGCTCTGCGAGGGTTTAAATCATTGATGAGGCGAGTTGCTCTGCCAAAAACGAGAACATGACACAGAAACAGACGGGATTTAACCAGCGGCACGCGGCGCTAACCACAACATAAACACAGTGACCAGCAGCCAGAGTCAGGCAGTTACTAGTTACAGTTACTCAGTTATAGTTACTTCTGTCATTTTTTTAAAAACATGTTTACTTTTCTGAGAATTTTTACTTGAGTAATTTTATTATGAAATATTTTTACTCTTACTTCAATAAAACATCTGGATTTTCTTCCCACTGAATGAAAAACAAACATGTTTTAACCAAAAACTCACCAGACAGACATGTTTGTTTCAGATCTTTAATGATGTACAGACTTTGATAAAAGTACTATTTTTGAGTAGGTAAAAAAAATGACACCATTTCTAATTTAATGAATTTTGTGGCCTTCAGGTCAATTTACTAATTGTGTCTGTATTTTGGGCTGCCTCAGTCTCAGGTTTTTTTCAGCCTCTAACAGCTTTTGTTCGGCTTTGCTTTGCATCCCCACAGGATGACGCTGCCACCGCCATGTTCCATATAGGGTGAGTATTTGCTTTCCATCACAACCAGAAAGTCTCTTAAGCCCAGACCTGGCTTTTTCCCATTGATGAAAAAGCACCTTCATGGGATGATGCTGCCGCCACCATATTTTACCAACAATAAAATGTGTTCAGGTTTATATGTAGAGATAATGTCACAATGCACTAATCATTTTCATGTATCTGCTTTATTAAGTAGATGGAATACTTCTGGAAGCTAAAACATAATATAAACATTACATTTATTAACAATACATCTTTATTTTATGTTCATTTGTTACATCTGGTGCCTATTTCAGTATAAAGTGATGAGGTTCAAGAATCCATTCATGTTTTCTGGATGCTAGAAGAATATCCAACTGTAAATATGCGTTTGCTTGGTATTCAAATGAAAATGTGTAACAACTCAGATCTGTGTAGTAGGATGTTATTTCCTCTTAATATTTCTATGGCAACTGTTACGCTAATTCTTCTGAGGGGAAAATAAGAGACTGAAAACCACAACATACCTACAGTACTGCAGTATTTATCATAAAGAAACATTTTCACATCGCCCACGTTTGTCAAGTTTTAACAGAGAAGTGCTGCACTTGACCATTCACTTCCTGAGTCTGGAAGCTAGCCACCAAATAATTCAAATTTACGTATTTTAGCACAAAATGTCATGATAACATTAAATAACTTGAAATAGGCTCCCAAGCACCATATGATAAATAAAACATTTCTCAGGCTGTATGTGTTTAGTGTTGTGGAGAAAATCAGAGACTTGGGTTTAATTTTTAGACATGGGAAACGCTGTCGTCAACCGCTAGCAGCTGCACGTTAGCATAGAAACTGAGAACAGTTCAAGTATGTCCGGCTCTTTTTCAGTTTTTACTGAGAATGTCTGATAACACATGGGTAAAGAATAATTCACAATCATCAAACTGATCATTCTTAAAGTGAAAATGTTTTGTACAAGCTAACATGGCTTAGCATGCGTTAGCATGACTCATTTAATGTTATCAGAAATTGTTTCCTTTTAATCCAGTAGCCACTTTTAGCTTCGGTTTATTTCTCCAAGTTTGGAGGTGACCGATAATTTGGACTCTTAACCTCATTAATTTAAAACATGTAGCATGAAAGCTAGCTGACCCAAATTTAGGCAAATGCAGCTAATCTAGCATTAGCTTAAAAATTACTCCTATTTTATCATGAGTTAATTTTTCTCTCAAAAAACTCTTATCAAATAAAATAATGTTCTTATCAGATATATAAGTATATATATTTTAGAGCAGTTTTATTTTATAATTGTTTTCTTTTATAACTATTTACACTCCTTTGAAGTTTTTTCTTTTTTTCACATAATAAACCCATGTATTTTATTGAGATTTTATGTGATGGACCAACACAACGAATGAAACATTGTGAAGCAGAAGAAAAATATGTATGTATATTTTCTACATTTTTTATGAATGCAAGTCTGAAATGGTGCTACAAATTTTTTATTTGCTCATCTTTACCTGATATAAGTGGCTTCAAATGTTACCTTATCAATAATGGCGCCCATCTAGCAGTAAATAAACCAGTAAATTGAGACAATATTGTGAAATGAAAATGCAATATGAAATGGGAGCAAGACAAAATACAGCCCTACCAAAACACGGTCGCCCTTCAAAACTGATATTTTTTCTTAACAAGAAAAAGGTAACAAGAGGACGTAATGATAAAAAATTTAACACCAACACTAAGAGACATAAACGATTTCCTAGGGATGATAGATGTAAGGAAAAAAATTAATTAATGTATCAAAAAAGACAGACAATCATGACTCAGGTTTCCGGCTCTTCATCTTATCGCAAACTTTGGATTGTTTGTTTGATTGATGTAGTGGCAGAACTTTGATTTGGCTCTTTCTGGTGTTTTTTCTCTGTAAAAATGTTTTATCTGGCTCTGGTTCATTGAATTTAAGCTTCTAATGAGCCAAAATCTTTACATTTTGACTCCTTGCTCATGCGGAAGTGTAGCGCCGCTGTCCGAGTGATGCGGTTTAACATGAAAACTTTGTCCTCATATTTTTCATGTTAGAATGATGTAATTTTCACATTTGAACAAAATGTTATCACTATTACACATATTCTTCTGGTGATAAAAAAAACATTTCATGCTGTATGAATTATGTCATTTATTTTGCAGAAGTCTAAAAAACGTTGTTGAACGTTAAATATCTATTTTCTTTTGGGTTGGCAGCTCTGTTCTAATTTGCTGGAATAATCTTGATTCATATTAAAGAAAATTTTTTCAAAAACAGTTAATTAAATATTTGAAACCACCATTAGGCTCATTGTTGGTGATTTAAACCTTTGGCGATTTATTGCCTGACTCAGTTTTCCGGCCTTCCTTTTAAATCGCACACATTTAAAAGGTCATCCTCCTAGATTTAAAAAACTTACTCAAGCCATTTTATGAAGTTTCAGAAGAGGAAATACAATATTTGTAGGATTTTTTTCACCTTTTATGTATTTGTTCAATGAAAAGATTTCGATCAGTAAGAGGAGCCTCTTTATGTCTGTTACATTCAATCAAATATCAAATATTGTAAACATTGCAGTTAGTTTAAAAGACCCAGATTAACATTATGGCTCTGAAATTGCTGAAAAGGTCCACATAAACCTGAGGATGAAGCGGAGATGTTTGGTAATGGTGGTTTATCGTCCCACAGCGAAACAGAGCGAGGAGCGACTCACCTTTGTCGTGGTCTGTGTGCAGCGAGTGCAGTTTGTTAAACTGAAAGCTTTTCTTTCATGCAGCAGGTCGGTGGAGTGCATGAGTGTGGGAGTGCTCAGAGAGAGGAGCAGGAAGTCGGTGAACGGGTGGAGGTTGAGAGAAACACCAAGAAATGAAAGTTAAAAGGAAGAGGAGAGCAAAGACAGAAAACAGATTAATTTATCTCATCTTTACTGAAAAAAGAACTGCTTAATTTTAATCTGTCAGCTTCTGCTGTTTCCTCAGCTGATTGATTTCCTAAATATATATATATAAAAAAAACAACCTCACTGCATCTCAGCTTGTCTCAAACAGCTGTGAACTTTTCACATTTTTACACGTTTCATCTTCAACCTCAGTGTGTTTTGTTGCCATTTTATAAGTTAAACAGACGCAGATAGTTGTGGAGCAAAAGTTTGTACTGGTTCTTAAAAAGGCAACAAAACCGAACCTTTTTAACGTTTGATATTTAGCAGAAAACTCATTCTGCACTTCAGGTCGAATATGTAATCCATAGGGTAAAACATGGGGTGATGGCATTATGCTGTGGGACTGCTTTCCTTTGACACTGTCAGGGAAACAAGATGTCCCTGAACACACAATCTGAGTTGGCTCGGATTAGAGCAAAGCATCTAAAGGTGTTTAACATGTCCTAGTCAAAGGCCACACATAAACAAACTGTGCAAAGACTTGAAATCTGTTTACAGACAAGGTGATATACTGAGGGTTTTCTGGTGTAAAAACAGTCAAAAATGACACTTTATAGCAAATATTTTTATTTAGTTAGTGCAACTGGGAAACGTCAACACAGTTTTTGACAAAAACATATAATTTCAGAGACTATCTAGGTAAGATGGAGAGTCAGTACTTAATTTTTAATGTAGAAGAGGTTAGAGTTTGTAGAAAGTTTGACTCAATTACAGTCAGTCTGATGCTAAACTAAAATAAAACCAGGAACATTTTTTACAGTGTAGCTCAAATAATAGACTTATTTGTTTACTGTGTCCATGAAGACACAGTAAACAGATGGAAGTTCATCTTTTTCATATCTAAAAGCAAATGGAAAATGAACATTCAGATTTCAAATGTGAATAATTGAAAAATGAAGGAAACACCACAGCAATTTAAACAATTGTATGTCATAAATTAACTTTGTCCAACATGTAGGCTCGAATGTTGGGGTTTATGCAGGGTTAGCAAATCCAAACACTTTGTCTTCTAAACAGGAAAACAAAATAACACAAAGAAACACGTGAACGTCCCAATTTTTAGCTGATTTTAATTTTAACAGAACAAAAAACAGTAAAGATTGAGGCAAGCACTGCTTTTCTCAGATGTGACACCACTTCATATTTTACATTTGTTCGAAGCAACATTTAACAGCAGGTGGTCATTTTCAAGGCTTTCTATAAAAAAAATTGGTTTTATTTTTATTTATTTTGATAATTAGCCCAACAGAAATGCAAAAACTATTTTTGTTTATGTAAAACTGCACGATGGTGCTGATGTCTAAATCGTAAGGCACAATTGAGGCATTTTTTTCACATTTTCTTAAAATCATAGGAATGACTAGGATTCAGTCTAGAGGGTCTAACCACCACTCTATGCAAGCAAATATGAAAACAAACATTTGACTGTAATAAAACTGATTTTTGTGATTAAATTGTCAATGTTTGTGACTAATCTCTACTAACATTGTGGGTTTTGCTTCACTTCTGCTCCGCCAGCGTTTCTACGACGGCTCTCAACATGGCGGCTACGGCCACGGCACCGGGGTCAGGCAGGGTGACCCGCTCGGCGGCGATGTAGCTGGCCCGCCCGGCCCGCGCTGTGAGGTCACGGGTTGCCTCGGCTCCCGCAGCTGCTTTCTGTGGAGTCGGAGGAAATAAAGGGGAGACGACCGGTTTTAGCCGTCAAGTTGTCGACATCATGCACAAAATCTTTACTGTATGCATGATATGTAAAAGAAAAAGGGACGCAGTGCTTTGCTACTAATTGTCAACACTGCAACAATGAGATAACAAGATCAGGCAAAATATAATTAAAAAGAAATATCGAGGTAGAGGGAAGTACATCAGTAATGCTAGCTTGACTTTGACAAGCTAGCATGTAGACGTGCTGTGGAATTCGGGTCAGTTAAAAAAAAAAATTTAATGTTCTGTTCTTTGTGTGGAAAATGTTTGTGTTTTGGGGTTAAATCCTGATACATTAGTAGAGCTGTTGTCACTCAGTTGCCATTGTCAACAGATCTGTTTGTAGCAAAACTGACTGAGAGGGCAGAAAAACTGAAGATAAAAAAGTGGCTTTGAGTTGTTTAATGGTTTTTCTGTGTTATTTTTCCCTTTTGCTGTGGTGCATTCACTAAATTAATAATACCTACATCTCCAGGTTTCATTTTGTTAACAGTTGTTCTACAGGTTCATGGAAAAGTCTTTTTACCCTCCATTGTTGTGCGCATGCATGAAAGTTCTGGATGGAAACAATAATATGAAACGTGTCTGTAGTTACTGTACCGCCACAGCTGCATGAAGCACATCCATTTGTCCAGCAGGTGGTGCTGTAGTTAGCTTCATGAGCTCCTCTGCAGCCGGACACAAAGCATCCAGCTACAGAATGAAGACAGCAGCAGAGGTCAGAGTTCAAACAGGGTCAGGCTTAACAGTAAATTACATTATGTCATGATAAATCTAAACATGAATCCTCGTTTCTCACCATCGTTCTGTCTCCAGGGTCAGCGCCTCCGTATCTGAAGGAAGACATTTTTTTACTTTGATCTCTTTAGACTGATGTGTTTAGGTGATGTAGGTTATCTGGGTACCTTCTCATGGCTTGCGTCCCAGCATGCACTGCAGCAGCCCAGGCAGCGCCGTTGGTCTTCCCCTCGGTCACATGACCAGCTGCAGCGGTGAGAAACAGACTGTACAGCTGAAAAACAGAAAATAAGAACTGATCTCAGATTGTTTGGCAAAATATGAACATAATTAAATACATAAAGCAAACTATGGCAGGCCATTTTAGCACATAATCAAACCGCTGTGAATTGTTTCATTACATCAATCTTGGGTTATATGTGTTAAGCTTGTCAAGGAAGTGATTCTTGTCCGAGTTGTGCTGTTTTATTATCATTTGAAAAAAATAAAGAAATGTCAAAGAACTGTAAGAATTGCATTTACTCAATTCTTTAGAAAAAGAGCATTTATGTTTATTAATTAAAATTTGAAGTGTCTTTAACATCAGTTTTACTGTTCATGTTTGTCAAGTTTTCAGCTTCATTGTTTCTCTCTATAATGAACATTTTTGGTTCTTGAAAACAGTAACAAATCAGCTTGCCGTACTGCTCCCGAGGATCCGCCCATTTTCTCCTCCACCAATCCAGCGAGGACGGAAAGCAGTCGCCCCGGGCAACCAGGAACCACATGATCCCGGAGCCACTCCTGAACGGCTGCAGGAGCAACATGATAATGGTTTGGTATTGGTTTTTATTTTCCTCCTGTAAAAACTCTCTCACCTCTAGCGGCCTGAGCGTGAGTGTTGCCACAATCTCCGTCCCCGGAAGCCCGGTCCAGAGAGTTTAGTTCCTCCTGCTTTTCCAGCAAGGTGGAACAGATCTTGTTTAAAACTTTGTGCATAACGGGACTGAGAGGCCCTGGGAAAATGTAAAAGATTAAATTTACATGGAAATAATACATTAACATAGGAACCTAAGTTAACTAGCTTGATTTTTAGTACCAAATAAGTTAAAAAATAGTAATTTAATAATAATTTTTTGTCCTGTTGCAGTTCGCTTTGTATAAATTTCATTACCAGCCTCTGGAAGCGTTATTTACAATATTTCTACATGAAATAAACAGATTTTAACAAAATTTAGTGACCTTTGGCGTGTTTGTCATCCTGTGGCCGTGTGATCATAACAGGAGCTGAAGTGATGCAGTTGCGTCCGCTCACAGCAGCAGTGCTGAGGTTTGGCCAGGCGGGGGCGCTGGTCTTAGTATCTGAGTTGAGATATGCAGTTAACTAACACTGCAAAAACAGATTAAACTTAATAAGTTGACTAAATTTTAGTTACATAAATGTAAAAATGTCTCACACAGTAAATTAGTGAAAAAAAAATTCTAAATAGTTTTGAAAACTCTTGAAGCAGAAGCACATGAAATCAAACAAAATTTAAATTTTCACCTAAACCTAAAACTCTTCCTTCCATATTATTACTTTTTAAATAATGACGTGAAACAAAAGGTTTATGCTGTTTACCAAACAGCCTCAGTGTTTCTGGGTTGACCTTCATCAGGGTCAGAGAAACTCCCGCCATCTCCAGTGATGTCATGAACGGCCCCGACATCACCCTGGCAACCACAACCCCACGGCTCTCTGTAACCATGGAGACCGTCAATAAACCTCCGCACAACCGTTGGAACAAAAGTCTTGATTTTGTTCCCCTAAATTTCCAACAAAAACATCAAAATAAAGACGACAAAATAGTGTTGCTTTTATATTTAACATTTCCAAAACGACTCAACTGTTTTAAGTGAAACACAAAATAAGGACAAATCGACTTAATCACCAGTTAAATTTTTGGCCTTAAAAAACACTTTTTATATTTTTAACCAAAATAATCTACCTCAGTTTAGGATTATTCATTTGAGGTCCATTCCATGCTTCACTTTGTCCCTTGTATCCAAAAAACGCATCCTTAAAAACTGCATCGGAAATCTAATGTTGGCACGTTTCTAAATCTTTTTCATGAACATTAGCCCTCACCAAACCCGAAAGAATAATCTTAAATTTACAGGACTTTTAACAGCTTCAAATGTCAGTTTTAAGGAGTAAAAATCTACGACCTTTTGTTTTAAATCCTTTAATGCTGAAATATCTGGTTGCACTTAAAAACAAGTGTCCCCAAATATAGAGTCTAAATATAAATTTTTTAAATAATTAACCAGTTTATATCAGTGCAAGCTAATCTTTGCAATATTGTGTACAATGTGATAACGGTAAATGTGTGATTTCTTATGCAGCCCTGGCTAAGGTGGTGTTAAATCATGCTGTTACTGTTCTAACGTAGTATACTACTGAAACACTGATATTAAGTTTCGTTAAATGGCTACAGATGGAAGCGGCTCTCTGCTCACCCAGGCAGGTGATGGCCGCTTGGGTAACAACAGCCATCTCCAGGCAGGACAAAGCGCCAAGGTTGTTCACACACAGAACAACACTGTCACCTGTAATAACAACATTAGAAACCAAGTTTTAATAAGCAGTTCATGCCTTGACTGGAGTCACTAAGGCATAAAACACCTGATCCTGGAGAGGCTGTGAGGTTGATCACTATATTTTAGGATGTTTTGGGGTGTCGTGGTCGGGCACTAGGGGGCCCCACTCACCGGAGAAAGGAGAGATATACAGATATATAGCTTAAATAAAAACAAACAGTAATATGGTACATGCTAACTGAAACACCAAACTAATAAGAATGTCATAACCTTGACCTGATTTCAAAGGCAGATGTGATTGGCTGTCTGGGTTGGTCATGTGATCGATCATCGTCTTCACCACCTCATCTGCAGACGCCACCTGATTGTCAAGAACCCAAAGAAACAAAGCTTGTTCATACATTAAAATAAAAACGACTACGGGTGGTTAGTGTTAGTATTTCTGGCTGACCTTTGACCTCTTAATTCCAGGCTCTCCATGGATTCCTGATGGACAACAGATTCATATGTAGTACAAGTTAAGACTGAATTATTTGAGAATAAGTCAAACAAAATATTATTTACAGTGACAGTAATAAATTTTTGAGTCATGCTAACAGCTAATTATATAAACATTATTAATAGGGTATTTTATCCTGCAGCAATAACCCATTATTCATTTAAATTAAAATGATTTAAACCATTTCCACTCTGATGGTTAATATTTTCTGAAGGGCAATTTTGTCATAGAAACATCATGATCCGTTTTATTTGTGGTTTCTTTTGTGTTTTTTTATTTCTGTTTATTTATTGTTTTTGGTTGTTGTGTTTCAGTTTGGATATTTTGAATATCTTCCAGTTCCAGGGTTAAGCATTCTTCACAAATTAAAGTTTATTGGTCTCTTTTTATTTAATGTTCTTTTAGGATCAGCCAAGTATTTCTGAATTTGAGAGCAAACTTGCATTTTTATATCATTATCAATTACTTGGAAATGGTCTCAAAACAACAGTATGGTCGTTTATGGCAATAATTACTTGGGCAATTTATCGTAAGCAAAGTGTGTTATTGTGACAAGTCTAGAGTCAAATAAAAACTCTAGAAATAAAAACAGTTTTAGTGAAGTTTTTCAGTTTTTAAAGCATTTTAAACCACTACTAGAGCAGTTTCATAACAATCCCTTATAGATAGAATGAAAAGTTAAACCTCCGTCCATCAGGTCTACAACCTCAACCCTTCCTCCACGTTTTACCAAACTCTCGACCCTCCTGTCACGGCTCTCACCCAGTCCCAGCTCCATGGCTCCTGGCGGCAGGTCGAAAGAGGGAAGACATCCTGGAACGCTGCATGGAGAAAGACTCACTCCCAATGTGCCTGTGATGGAAGAATCCATCACAAACAGTGAAATTATCAGATAAGATGAACTCAGGCAAGTCAAAACAGTGGTGTTCAAACCAAAAGACATAATTTTCAAAAGCACTAATACCACAAAATAAATCTAGAACTATTTTTACTTCTCAAAAACTCACCAATCCCTTTCAAAACTTCTTTCATCTTGGAAACAATCTGGTCCAACGAACAGCCTTCTTCTGCCAACGCCCCGGCCAGCTGAACACAGTTTAACAGCAACACTTTTATTCATTTTATCCATCCGTCCACTTTCTAACACCCTTATCCCCCAGTGGGGTCAGGAGGTGCCGGTGCCCATCTCCAGCTGACCTTTTGGGCGAGAGGCGGGGTCACCCTGGAAGGTCGCCCGTCTGTCGCAGGGCAGAGACAGACAGGACAAGCAACCATGCACACACACTCACACCTGGGGACAATTTAGAGAGACCAATTAACCTGACAGTCATGTGTGGGAGAAAACCCACGCATGCACAGGGAGAAGATGCCAACTCCATGCAGAAAGACCCCGGGCTGGGAATCGAACCCAGGACCTCCTTGCAGCAGTGCGACCAACTGTGCATTTTAACTAGAAAAGTTAAATAAAAACACTTTCCTAACTGATCCGTCATCTGATCCTTTTCTGATTGTGGTTTCAGCTGTTTTTGTGACCCACCTTGTGTATGAAGACGGTGCCACACAGGCCTCTCCTGCCGGCTTTACTGGGCCGGTCGAAGGCGCAGTCCTCTGCAACAATCACCATGTCCACGGCCACTCCCTGGTTACGGGCCTGCTCTGCCGCGAGGCCAAAGTTCAGCCGGTCCCCGGTGTAGTTCTTCACGATGAGAAGAACCCCAGAAGCTCCTGGAGAGCCAGAAAGAGGCGCCAGACTCCACATTTAGGGTTTTATCTGAAAACTACATTTAAATTAGTTAATATTTGAAGAGCAGATTTACCTGCTTGGTGTAAGGTGAGAATGGCAGCCAGGATGCTGGCAGGAGGCGGAGAGGCAAACACTCCTCCTGCCACGGCTGCAGACAGCATGCCAGCACCAATATAACCTGATGACGCACCAGTAACATTAAACTGGGACCAGCAACATTAAACTGGACCAGCAACATCAAACTGGGACCAGTAACATTAAACTGGGACTCCAGTTTAACTGCAAACCTATAGAATGGTGGGGAGAAAAAAGTACACCCACTTCTGGTTCTCTGGTTTTACATACTACCACAAATTAGGATCTAAAACGATTTAAATTCAACTTAAAGAGAACTAAAAACATCAAGAAGACTTAAAAAAATATGAAGCAAAAAAAAAAGAATATCTTTGAGTCGACGTAAAATGGTCATCTTTATAAAAAAAGCGATGCACTGATTTAAAAAACCTGATTTGCCAATGCTTTTTTTGTCTGAAATTTTGCTAAATCTTGTAAGAACCCTTCTCAATTAACTTTAGATTCTAATAAACATTTAACAATTGAAAACATTTTAAATATATAAACAACACAAGCAACAAATAAAATGAATTCAAACAAAACTGTGCTTCAAAAGACGGGGCTGGTTGAGACTGAAGCACCAAACTGAAAACCAATTTTTGGTAGAAAAAGAGAAAAATGATAAATAGTTCAAATGGAAATGATCAAGTTAATCTTGTGATTAATTATTATCAGTGGATAAGATAGGCTTCATATTTAGCTATCGGCTGATCAACAATCTCCCAAAACTAAGGAATCCATATTAAAAAGGATAAATAAAAATTCTTATGGTAAGAAATTTATCATAATAAATGATGCGATAATTATGCACTCCTAGTTTCCCTAAATGATCAGGGTGTACTTTCTTTTCTCCAACATTTAAAGGTCATGGATAGTAAAAAGTCGTACCCCCGTGTGCCGGCTCATGTCCAGAACCTCCTCCGGACAGCAGGCCCACTTTGCCCTTCAGACTGTCCAGGTCAGAGCGAAGCACGACCCTGTGGCCCTTCAGCAGAGCGAGGCCCCCGGAGGCCCTGACCAGGCCGCACAGGGCCTCATCAACACAGCAATCCACCGAGTTGATCAACTTCCTCTGGGCCTGGGAACGTCAAACTAAATATTATGATTAAGTGACGCAAACGGAGCTCATCAGAGGATTTCTGCAAAACTAAAACACTAAAAAGACATGAAAGATTCGAGAAGATGCAGGTATTGGAAGATTGATCTCATAAGTTTTCTAGAAATCTTGGAAACTTCTGAGATTGAAAAGTGGAATATTTTCTAAAAAAAAAAAAAAAAAAAAGTTTTAGATTAGTTTTTGAAATTTTCTGAAAAGAACCCTTAGATTTCTGAGTTAGTTTTTGACTTTTGCAAATTGTCTGAGGATGAAAAGTAAAAATGTTTGACCCTTGTAACTCAGAAATGAGCCTTTGCAGCTGAATGGACTCTGATCTCTGGTTCTGCAGAGCACGGTGAGCTGAAACCACGTTACCAAGACGCTCCATTCATCCAACCAGACTCCACTAAATGATGATAAAGCTTCACCAACACTCAGTGCATGACTGTCCTGGTGATAAAACAGCAGATTCACTCACTTACCTCCATGTTTAGCTCCTGTTGTTGCTTCTCCCGACAGGCAGCAGCACGATGACGTATCGGCGTCAAGGCGAAGAGATTTAGAGGCAAAAACCGGATGTTGGTTCCTTTCAAAAATAAAATCGCTTTAAAATCTATTTATTTATTGAGTAATTATTTGCACAGTTCATTTACAAAATTATATTTTGTATGTGTGTAAAAATCTGTACGTGACCTAAAAGAACTAAATTTAGTCAAAGATTATTTTGGAAATATTTTAATTGTAGAAATTCTTTTAATTTTAAAAACTGGAAATGCTAAACATTTGGATTTCTTTAACGTTTCTCCATAGTCAACCATATATGGGGTGAGGCATAAAGATGTCAAAATATAAGGTACTCTTTCACTAGTAATTTTTTTAATTATTTGAAAGATGGAAAAGAAAAAGCCTAATTTAAATTCATGTTTGATTTTTTATATATACACAAAATAATAATAAAAAAACAACACTTATTTAAATATAATATTTTTGTTTCAAGAGGAAACAATGTTTTGGTTTGTTTTACTTTTCACCAAACACGCACGGTACCTCCTTCCGGAACCACAGGTTGGAAACACATGGAGTCCCCGCCCACCCGGGCTGCCCCGTCTGTTTTCCTAAACCCACTGTGTGGTTCCTCTTCCCAACCTGTCCGCAGTACCGTCCGTCCGTTCAGCGCAGCTTGGAACCGTCCAGAGCAACATGCAGGATGGCGAGCGTGGAGACAGCAGCCGAACACGAACGCATCCTGCGGGAAATCGAGAGCACGGACACCAACTGCATCGGGCCGACACTCCGGTGAGTCAGCCTGCGGCGGCTACGTGCCTGTCAGTCCCGCTGGAAGACGGTCCACCGCTCGGCTCCTGAGAGCGCCTTCAAACTTTGAACACACATGCTTCTTTCCTTTATAGCTGGAGTTAAAACTTAAACAGACCTCTTGTACAGTTCTGTCAAACATGAGATATGGCTACTTTATGTAATACATTCTGGAGTTAAAACTTAAACAGAACCTCTTGTCTGACTTAATGTTTCTGTCAAAACCCGGTTCTCTTGTTTTTGCCCTTTAACTTTGGTAACTTTTATCAGGAGGTAAAGCAACCGTTAGGCTAACGTTAGCTTCCTGAGCTAACTACTTGTCATTCTATTCACACTTATTGGAAACGCTGCTTTCATAGGAATTTTAATGCTCTCCGTTTGGTGTAAGCCTCATCCCCGGGTTCTGTCTTTTCTGTCAGCCTTTTGGGAAAATGTTTTGAAGGCTTTACATATTAAGCTTAGATTTAGCAGCAGGTAATCTGTACAGTTGATCAGGAGTGTCAAGTGCAGTTGCCTGTTTTGTCACCGTCGCCCATTAAAAATGCTAAATATTTGTTAATGATTGGCACAATTTCTTATGCTGTAGGTCTGTTGTTTAGTAGAGACTCTGAATCAGTTAGTAGTTCTTGTTTTGCTAAACAAAGCGTACCAAACTACTTATTTGGTTCTACAGCTATCATTTATTGGGTTTGCAGCATCAGAACCAGCGACTTAAAAATGCTAAAAAAGGGGGTAAATAAGGTTTGTTCTGTTCTGGTGACGACTAGGGAATATCTGCAGATGAGAGCGTTAAGATAGTATTTAATAAAATAAAGGAGGTTATGGATAACCCTCAGTGTTTCATAGTGTCTTCAGTCAGAAGCTTTTCCATAGCTGCTGTAATACTGACTGCTACAGAAAATCTTTCCTGCCCATTTGAATTAGCATCTATGACAACTACTTGAAGAGTTAGAATTTTCCTCTAGGATCAATAAAGTATCTTTTAAATTTGATTCTATATTCATTACAGTTTTGCAGCTATTTTGTGAATAGAATCTGTTTATTGTTGCCTCATATTATGAATTGTATTTAAGTCCAGGCTTTGACTGGACTGTTTACTCCTGAACACAAATGCACACTTTGCAGATTTTTATTTGTAAAAATGTTTTCAAAACCTTGCCGTCTTTTATTTCAACTCGACCATTTCGCATTAGTTTTTTAAATGGAGTCCCACTGGGATACATCGACATTAACATGACACAATGTGGAAAATTACAAGTGGTCTGAATATTTTTCCACACTATGTAACTGACTCAGAACTGCGTTTCTGAAACGAAATCTGTGAACATTAGCAATGCAGGTTAGTTTTATTTCAGGCTCTTCGGAATGGAAATGTTCTACACAGGAGGACGGCGCCCTTGGCCAGCAGTGTTTGCTCTGATTGTCCAGAGAGGAAACGAGTTGTGAATGAGGGGAGGAAATGCAGATGAGCAACTGCCCTATTGAAGCCTTATCAAAGGTGTCTGTGTGCTTTTCAGAGATGGATTTTTTCCTGTTATTCTAATGCAACAGTCATTTCTGTTTTCCAATGTAATTAATTAGATGGTTTTTTTTTTCTCTTTTGAGACAATGTGTCTAAAAATATGGTCGTCACAAAGGCGCTTTGGTGAAGAAATAAGCTCAGTGTTTTGGCTGTTTTACAGTTTTCTTGAAATGTGTTGCAGATTTGTGATGCATGGAAGCTGAAGCTTTATAAACTGACAGGAGTGTTTTAAAGCCTGCTCTGTGACATCAGAGTTTGCATTCAGCGTTCGCAGCAGTCTGAAAATACATGCAGGCTCTAACACAACTTGACATCTTGCTTCAGCACCTCTGGCTGCCACATTCCTCTGAGCTGCTCGGTGCCACGCTGGGGACTTCCCCCCTGATGGTTCATCTTTTCCAGCCTCTTTCTGTCCCAGTCGTTTCCCTTTTTCCACTTCTTGCTCTACGTAGCTCCACAAATGTTCTGGGTCAGTTTATATTGTGACTAAGTTAGCTTCTGGAGAGTTTGAACTTTTCTTCCTTGTTGAGTCTTTTTAGAGAATATTTTTTTCTTTAAAAAAGGTCTGTTAATATTTAAAATCGATCAACATAAGCAGTGGAAAGCTGTCATGTGATTTAATTGCTCTTCTAAGACCCACCTCCTGTCTCTGGTTGTTTTGGACTGAGTGGTGTATTTTTGCAGTTGATACTGGGAACACTGGCAGCACTGGTAGAAGCAAAGGAGATCAGATTTTTACCCAGAGTATTTGTAATTTTTTATGCTGCCATGACATTATGATAATTGTAAAAAAAGAAAACACATTTTTGTAAAAGTCACATAGTCTTAATGTTTTTTAATGTTATGTTTTTAGTGTTTGATGTTAATGCAAGACTGCTGTGTAGAAGAATGAAATTACAATTTCCTGAGGAAAATCCCTATCTACCTACCAACCTCCCTACATACCAAGATACCTAGTAACCTACCACCAGCTTACGTACATAGGTTGGTGGTACCTACCTACATACCACCTAACCAACCTACCTCCATGCTACCTATGTACCAATCTACATACTACTAATCTACCACATGGAAAGTTGTACATGTATGGATGCTTTTTCAGTTTGATAGTTTAAAAAAAAATTACATAGAGATGCATTTTTTTGATGCATGCATAAAATGCGGATTCGAAACACACAGCTGATTATCACTTCTTGTTTTGTATTAAACCAAGCCGTGGTGTTTTGTAGCGTTAGCAGCAGCAGCAGCACTTTGTCCACTATAAGCAGAAAACATCATTTATTATTGATGATCTTTGATTGTTGTGGCTTTACCAACCTGCAGCTGTTCCAGCAGTAAAGTTGTCCAAATAAATTCAGACTGAGTCTAGCAGTGGTGTTCTGTATCATTTCTACAGTGAATAGTGTTAATCAGGATCCATTTCTGTACTGCAGGTCTGTTGTGTCTTTGGGTTTTGGTTCCTTGGAGCAGCAACAGCAAGCAGGTCAAGACTGGCTGCTAAATTCCTCCCTGACTGACAGAGTGGACTCCCTCGGGTTACAAACGTTGAGGTTTTCTAGGTTCCACCGCAGCTCGTTCTGTCTTTACATGTTATAATTAATCACCATGGTTACCGTCTGCTGGCCCCTGAGGTTCATCAGATGAACCACAGACAGAAACCATTCGTTAGGTCGTGGGTTCATTGCTGGACTGAGTGATATGAAAAATATCAGCTGCACCTATCATACTAAAATACTTTGGTGTTTTATTTTGAAAATCAGAGATTTTGTTGCTTTTTGATTTTAATGAACCATATTTTAGAATTGCAAAAAAATTATGAGGCAACAAATGTAGGTATGGAAAGATATTAATGTTGCACTGCTGTGAATCATGCTACATAAATATTTGATATGCTAACAATGTAAGTGATATCAGATTATGTCTGATAATTGATATTTACCGATATTTATAATATTTAATTTCCCTCAGTTTTATGTTGGTGAAAAGATTGGAATCAAACTTTTCTGATTGCCATAAAAAATTCAGATATGGGCTAAAAAGATCTAGTTTATTTATTTGCTGTGTTAACATGTTGCAAAAGTTTTATGCCGTCATGTGTTTTTGTCATTTCACTTTTAGTTTTGTAAATATCCTTTTTATTCTACTCTTGATAAATACCAGAATTTGCTCATAATTTTTTATGCTGTTGTCTATTATCGTGAAAACAGACTTTAGCTCTTATTTACTTACATTACTTTGTTACTCTGCTGAATAATTTTTTTACTGACTACTTTTTGCTTCTGCTTCAGTAATGTTAATTTGAACTAACCTCACTCTGCATGGTGTGAAACTATTGATCAGATTGATTGTTATTAAATGATCTACTTTAGTAATTGATTAATCGTTAACTTTAGGATAGACTTAAAAAAACGCTATTTGCTGAAGAAACAAGGAACTCAAAGCAGTAATTAAGCCAAAACTGTACTAAAAACATAAATATTTTCTAGTAGAATTAAAAGAATCTAAGTTAGAATTGTATTTTTTACATGCTTTGCTACAATTGATCAAGCGGTCACTAAATGAATATGCAATTCTGTTATTGCATATTAGGTAAAAAAATGGTTAAAAAGGGACTTAATTATTTGTTTATTTGCATATTTTAGTGTATTTTAATTAGGCTTGTCACAAAAAGCAATACATCAATTATTTGCATGATAAATTAAAACAATGTTAATAACTTCCATTTGCATGATTTATTGTTTTTCCTTATTTTCTCTATCAAAAACTGGATGACAAACTCTTTAGTTTAGATGACAAACTCTTTAAACATTTTTAATGGACAATTTTGAGTACATAAACTTTATAATGAGTCCTAATCATAATTAATGTTGTTTTGTTTATTTTGTATATTAAAATGTCTCCAGTGTTAGATGTTCATTAGAATTTCAAGTTTACTAATTTTTGAGAATGTGTTCTTGCATTATTATACCTTTATTTGCATTATTCTATGGTCTCAAATCAACAATATTATTGTTTATTGAAATAACTTCTCAGACAATTTATCATCAAGCAAGATTTGTTACCATGACAGAATAATCTCTAATATTGTGAAAACAAAAAAAGAATGAAGTGTTTAAAAGCAAAATCTGCATCATCTGAATGATGGATTTGCTAAAATAAGTTGCATCAGAGCCTCTCATCGTCTGTGTGTGAACTGGACCCAGTTGGACCCGGTTGGACCCAGTTGGACCCAGTTGGACCCAGTTGGACCCGGTTGGAGCTCAGCTGTGTGCTTTTGTGGCGCTCCACCCCGTTATTAGCGGCAGCCAGCTGGTTGAGGCTCGTTTTGTGGGTTTTCTCTGTTTGGACATGCACTAGGTTTATTTCTAGCTTGTTTCTGTTAATCCCTCAGAGTCAGACGTGTCCTCTCGGCGGTAAAACTCTGGCTCACCATGGAAACGGTGCTGATGTCGTAGCCAGCAGCTAACTCCAGTGTTTGGTAACCAAGAAGTTTTTATTTAGGGTTTCAAATCCAGTTTTTCTTCAGCCTGGAAGTGTGCAGACTGTTCCGTTCTGCACATCAAACCCAGCTGGAGGAACTCTGTGAAGGGAGAAGAGACGACTTGACACAAGCTTGTTGGGTCCAGCACGCCTTGCTGAGTCATCACTCTCACTCACCCAGCTGCTGGGGATCTCCCAACTGGGTTAAGATCCTATTTAGTCAGCTGTTGAGCAGGTCAGCGAAGAGATTTCACACGAACATGAGCGTCAGTTTGCAGATTGGATCAAAGTTTATTAAAACAAGGAGTTTGTGGTGATTTTTCTCGTCTTTATGCTTTAATAACAATAAGTGATGGCAACATTTTTACTCTTTCTGGTGGTTGTTGACATAAATTAAATATGACACTATTAAGACACAACATTTGCAGTAACATTTCTACAATGTTTCTGTTTATTCCAATCATTCAGATGTTTTTAGTTCAGCAACATGGACATTTTTCGAAAACGTGCCGTGTTTCGCCAAATCTGACCATTGGGTGTGCCCAAATCTGTTTTACTTCACTTTAATTCACTTTTTTTGCCTTGTCTGCAGTTGTAGCTTTCAGAATTATTGTCTGACGGAGAAGTCCAACAGATTTACTTTCATATGTGGAGCATTGCAGCTTTCGCTTCAACGCTCCACTGGAGAAGTTAAGAGGCTAAAATGGAAGTAAAAATAGAGGAGGGGCAGAAGATTTTAGTCAACTTTGTTTCTTGAATGGAGTTTTGTTAGTTTCAGGACGTTTCTGTTGGTGGATTCTCTTTTACATTGTGTTTACAAGTTCAAAACTGACTTTTCTGTTGGGCTTCTGTTGAAAGTGCATGAGGTCATCCCACTGGTGGCTCCCGTGTTTGTTTGTGTCTAAAGAAAGCCCCGCTGTGGCGTCAGACCTGCTCTCTATTGTACAAGCCAGGCACTTCCTGGTCAACAGGAGGAAGGGTGAGGGACTCGTAGCTGCACACAGGTGTGTGTGTGTGTGTGTGTGTGTGGTGTGTGTGTGTGTGTTGGTGTGTATGCGTGTCTGTGTGTTGTTTCAGCGTAGGAAAGACCACGGGAAGAACCAGGCACCAGGCTCCCTAAAAAAGGATTTTCCATTCACTCTGGTCACTGTTTTGGGTTTTCAGTCATCATATTCAACTGGGATCATTTTATCCAATATAAAAGCATTTTATTTAAACCTATAAATCAGATTTTATGTCCAAAAATCTCTTCCAGTGAAAATATCAGAAGACACAAGAAAGAAACCAACACATACTAGACAATAAACAGCAAAGTATTTTCAAAATACTTAGAAAACGAAGTATTTTGGGGTTTCTTGATGGTAAAATTAAAATATTTTGGCATTAAAAGACATATTAGGTCCCATAAAGTAATAGCTTGATTGTTTCATATCTAATAATTATACTTTTTGCCATTTTAAACCCCTAGTTGGATATTGGCTTTGGGTGCTACAAGTAAATCCATAATTTAGAAACAAATTTTAAAAGATAGTGAACCATCTGGTTTTTCAGGTTGTGTTTGTGTCTTATCAGGGAAAATGAAAGGGGCCAAAGTTGAAAGATGTAAATCTGAGGGACAGACAAAACGCCAAAAACATCACAGCCTTATTTTGTTGTTTAGTAGCACAAATTTCTCAATTTTTAAGAATATATAATATAATTAAACCTCAGGTTTTAAATTCAAAAGAGAAAAATCAAATATTTCCATTAAAAAGTGCATATTTAGTTTCAAAACAAAGCTTACAGAAACCTTCAAAATAAATCTCTGTATCACAGTTAAAATTGGTAAAATAAGCAGGTTTAAAACGCCTAATGAGCTTAAAAGACATGAACCTTAATAAATAATACCATTGGAAGTCTTTCACAATAAGAGCTTGAGAAATAAATAGTTGTCTGTTTCTGTTTTTTATTTGGCTGCTGGCCGGTTCTGTAAAATCAGAACCCGTCTCTCAGCAACAGGTTCCAGTATAAATAATGTGCATACTGCTCCCTAGTGGACATTTAACAAGACAACTGTTTTTATTGTTTTCATTTCGTCCTGAAATGAAAGCAGATGTAGAATAATTTTGTGTATTTACGGTAGATTAATCAGAAACAAACCAACATGAACTCGTAAAATGTTTTTTTTTAAATATGCCTTTTCTTTTAATTCTTACCATGCTGTTTTCTTAAATTTTGAACGTTTATATTCCTGAATTTGTTCATTGTTGTTCACTTTTTCTGTTAATAGTTGGGATTTCTTTGCAGACCTAATTTGTGTTAACTCCTACTTATTTATTATTTCATGCTTCCTTTATGTTTTTCCCTTTTTCTTTTCTTTTTTGCCTTCATTTTTTCCCTCCTTTTCTTTTTTCTCCATTTCCTTCTTAAACACATATGATTGATGGACAGTTGTTTTATAACTCAGTATTTATGTGAATGTTAGGGTAAACTGTCATAATGTATTCTTATTAAAAATAAGTATGTTGTTAAAATCACATTTTTCTTTCTCTCTGTCTTCCTCTGGCGCAGGTCGGTGTACGACGGTCAGGAACATGGCCTCTTCATGGAGAAGCTCGACGCTCGGATCAGGAACCACGACAGAGAGATTGAGAAGATGTGCAACCATCACTTCCAGGGTTTCGTCGACTCCATTACTGAGCTGCTCAAAGTCCGAGGAGAGGCCCAGAAGCTGAAGGTGAGAGGAAAAATGAGGAAGAACTTCAGATGGATAGAACAGTTTGAACTTGTTTTTGTCTTCCAGAGTCAGGTGACTGAAACCAACGTACGACTTCAGGAAGATGGGAAAGTGGTGAGTGCGGTTTGTGATCGTCTCTGCTCTTCAGATCAGTTTTACTTCTTCAGTGAAAATCTCTGACGGTTTTCCTTCTTCTCAGCTCATCGGTTCGATGGAGGAGCTGAAACAGTGCCGCGTGCAGCAGAGGAACATCGCCACCACCATAGACAAGCTGGCTCACTGCCTGCCAGGTAACGCAGAACTACGCTGGACCAACATCATCACACGGTACCGGTCCGGATGTCCAGTTCTGAATCAGCTTTAGAACCAGGATCAAGCAGCTGAGCTCAGTCAGAACCAAACTTTGTAATGAGCCGACACTCCCATCTCCCAAACTATGCATGAAGCAGCTAAGTGAAGTTTCCCTGATCCTTCTCCAAATCAAACAAAACCATCAAAATTAGTGTAAAATGTTTGTGCTGCTAAAATTTCCATTTGTGCTGCAGAAATTTTTGTTTGTGCTGCTATCATTTTAAAGAGGTCATCAAAGGTCAACCAGGCAGTTCACATTTGACATATTTTTGTTTGTTATACTTCGGCCCGGCAGCTTTAAGTGATTCTTTCAGCTCGTTTCTAGACAACCTGCTGACTCTGTGTTTTGTTTGGCTTTGGTTTCATCAGTTCTGGAGATGTACAGCCGACTGCAGGAGCAAATGAGAGCCAAAAGGTGCGTGTGTGAGGATCTTCTGACATTTATTTTTGTTTCAAATGGACACCAGTGCAAACAGACACAGACTTGACGAGATTCAGAAGGGGACGCTGAGTTGTCATGCTGTCACTTAAAAAAAAATAATATTCCAAAATATCAGAATAATCACGAAATAAAGATAAAAAAAATAGTAAAATAAGTGTAATGATTAGAAATCCAGTAAAAATGTGACTGAAAATCAAAACTTCTACACCGGCTTTTAATTTTGATTTACGACATCAGCTGACGTTTTGCATTAGAAGGTTTATAACCAAACAAATCACAATGTTGAGATTTAGCCCAGTTCAGATCATTTTAATTGTCGTTTCAGTCTTGTTAAAGTGGAAGGAACTATCAGTGTATTGTTTCACAATGATGCATATTTATACATTTGAATTCATGCTCACTTTTTACTAATAATTTTAGCCTTGACTCATCATAATGCAAGTCAGAATATCTTAAAATGCAGAGCAGAAGTAATGTTGACACATTTGATACCACCAAATTTATGAAACCATATAGATTTGACTTCATTTATTTTTGTATTTTTAAAAAAATGTTAATGAACTGATTGTCATGTGAAGCTCTTAATGCACAAAATTCCCCATAAAACAGTTTCAGCAGCAGGATAAAGATAACTCATTATTTAATTGTTCTTATTCTGATTATTGCTCTGTTTTACTTTGCATTTATCCTGACTATTGTTTTTGCTGGGTTTTATATCAGATTTTTATTGTTCTTAGTCATTTTTGTCCAACATTTTGTGCTGCTTTGTCATTGATTGTTCCACTTCCAGACACTAGATGGCACCAGTAAGCTGTAAACAGACATCTGTAGCCTTTCTCTCCCCTCTTGACCTGTAAAACGGTCATGTTGGTCATAAACTAGCTGTTTGTTTGGGGGGGGTTTCTCCTCGTCTTATGGCTGCTGTTCTTAGAAAGAGCAGGCTGAGTGAGTTTAGTCTTACCTGGAAGTTTCCGATAAAAGCTGCTGTCCTTTTCCTTCCTGTTGCTGCAGGTACTACCCTGCGTTACGGACTTTAGAGCAACTGGAACACACGTGTCTCCCCAGAGCCGGCCAGTACCGGTTCTGCTCCATCATGGCTGAGAACATCCCCAAGCTGAGGACGCACATCCGGGACACGGCCATGACGCAGCTGCGAGACTTCCTGGAGAGCATCCGCAAACACTCGGACAAGATCGGAGAGACGGCCATCAAACAGGTAGAAGGAAAGCAAACTCATCGCTGCTTTAAATTTACAGCATCAACACTTTTGTTTCACTTTCTCTCACTGTTCCACAGCGTTTTCTATGTTTAAATCCAGCATGATATGTTCAACTTTAAGATGCGCCGATTTGAAAATTTTGGCCAATATCTGTAGGCCCAAATATCTCATATCTGTCAGATATTTACCGATATTTTATTAATTTCCTCACCATTTCAACTTTTTGATAAAACAAGCCATGATGTTGCTTTTTTACTTAAAACATCCCACAATGCTCTGCGTCATCACTGTCACATGACCAAACAAATACAAGGAAGTTAAGGAAGAGGGGATTTGTTAATATTGAACCGATACCAATATTTTAAACCACTGGAGTTCAAACTTTTTGCTCAAAGTTATTAACTTGAAAGTGACAGTTGTCACTAAAACAAAATAATTTTTTCTGGCTTTCAACTTAACAAGTTTGGACACGACTGGTTTACAGATAAAAACAACAAACAAACAAAACACATTCTGTTTCTTTACAGTTTACTCCTCAGATTTCCATCTCTATTGTTATTATTACTATTATTATTTAACGTTAAGTTGACCTGTCTCTGCTTCTGACTTCCTGAATGTGTTCCTGTTTGTTTCCTGGCTGGTTTCTGGCGCTAACTCCAGTACCGGTTCCTGCTGCGGGTTAATATCGACTCCTCAGTGTTTCAGCCTCACTCTGTGTGTAACTCAGAATCAGTCTCCCCATCTCTGAGAGTGTTTGTGTTTTCCGCTGCCAGTAAACAAACATGTCGCCGCTGCCGGAGCCTCCGAGGCGCGTCGACGATAACGCGCTTTAGCTTTTCACCACTTACCTCATTGTTTGAGTGTTTCTCAAGGCCAAGGAAGTCATATATGAGCGTCTGCTTGTTTGTGTTTGTCTGGTATCCAGAGCTCATGTTAGGGCCGTTTGTTTATTTGTGTCTTATTCCACAGAGCGGGATGGAAACTGTTCAGAGTTTCATACTTGCATATTTAAGTGTTTAGAGAATAGAGTAGCATAAAACAAAGGGAAATGGAATCAGCAATTGTGATGATATGGCTGAAAAACATATAATAATATAAATATTTCACACCAATTAATATTGATAATTATTGATTAGTTGTTTTGTTTTAAGTATTTGAAATTCTGTCAAACTGTCAGTGTGACCTTCTCTGTTTTATCCAGTTTTTACTCCATGCTGTTATTTTTACATTTTAAACATTTAGGAGGCAAAACCTTAAACTGTTGCTGCGCCAGTTACCCAACAGCCTGTTGCTAGGTAACCAAATAATGAGTTGCTAGGTAACCAAAGAATAAGTGAGTTAGTTGATTCCACAAACTTGCTTAGCTAGTAGCGTTTTGCCTACATTTCCCAGAATGCTGTGTGGTTCTGAATCGCAGTTCAGTCAATATTCTATATTTTGATTATTCTATCAAACATATTATCTATTGATATTAATCACATGTTTATCGCAATATATGTTACGATTGATTTATGAGCGCATCTTAAGAAATTACATTTTTGAACAGATGATCTTGACAAGAAATGGCTCCTAAAGACGTTCTTGATGAGCGTAGATCTCCAATTGTTCTTAAATCTTAAGTGAAGTCATTTAACATTGTTTCACATTGTTCTGATTCAGGTCAGTTTACCAAATCCTATTTTATTCTACCAGCAACAGTCAGTCATAATCAATAACAAAAAAAGTCCTGGTTTTATCAAGTTAAATGAAATTCTGCACCACAAATTGAAAACAATATTTCTGTTGTTGAAAGTTGAGGAAAATGCTGAAATATTTGTTTTTAAAATTATTGATCTGGATCGAATTCCTGATTGATTGACTTCAAACATCATGTCTGAATTTAAGTGTTCATCTCTCACAGATCAATTTAATGTTAGAAAAATGATTCTGGTGAGTTTCTTGGAGGTTAAAGGTCACCTTCTGGCTGTGTTGCTGTTGATCCACCCAGACTCATCAACCAGACTTTGGTGGTGTGATTCAAACGGCCTCTAGATGTCACTAAAGGTCCAGTTTTATCATGCAACTATCTTCATCTCCTGTGTCTCTACATGGGAGGATTAATTAAAAAGCTGGTTTTAATTAATCCGGTAGCACTGTAAAGTGTTCACATCCCTAGTAAAGGTTTCTGCTTCTGTAATGTCAAAAATTAGATTGTAAATAATTGCAAAACTTATTAAATTCAAAACCTAAAGATGCCAGGATGAGAAACATACACAAAAATGTGCTACAACCTGTTTACAGAAATGAAAGATACTTCTTAGTCTCCTTTTGATCCAATTTCAACATTTAATCTTGATTGTGCACCCATCACCAGTTATAGTCATTTTTATAAGCCTGAGTCACAGTTTAGCTCATGGGTATCCAAAGTGTGGCCCGGGGGCCATTTGTTGCCCTTTTACTGATTGTGTACGGCCCCCAACTGAAGTTCAAGTTTGACTTAAATTCAACCAGTCCAGCTCAGGTGTTTGATGTGGATACATTTTTATATTGGTAATGAGGGAAAAATTATTGCAGAGATAATTTTCTTGCAATGGAAAAAGTTGAGTGCAGCTTTTCATAACCAATTTACAATAAGTAGAAAAGCCGACTTTGCTGCACAGGAATCAGCTTAATTCAGAATAGAAAAAAATGAGAAATTAGATCAAATAAAAACTAATTATTAAAACACCAAGATTAGAAATGGGAGGAATTGTTTAATTAACACTGTGGGGTTTCTCCCAGTGGATTATAAGCCTGGCGGGTCCCCACGCTTTACATGCCCCCCAGACCAGGCCTAATATAGTTGGTTTATTTTAAATAATTTATTTTATACACCAGGTACCGTGATAGGTTAAGCAAGGTTTATATATAATAAAACATCATTAATGTTTAGAATTTTATCACACATACACAACCTACATACAGACTATTTGTTGTATTTTCTTTGTTGGTTTTTTCAAAATTTCCAGTCAGCTTTAACATTCTTTTAACACATAAACAACTGCCATAGTGTTGAAAATGATAAATTTACGTCACACTGTGTAATGAAATAATCTTTTGAAGTTTTGGATGCACGTGAATTACTTTTTCAAACTATATTCATTTTTATTGTTACTACCAATTTTGGCAGGATCAGTCCTCCATATATTTTTGGGTCTTCATGTCAGAGTTTATCCTCTTATGGATGAAAAGGTGTTTATTTTCCATCTGATGATGATGATTCTGTTAGTGAGCCTCGATGCTGCGCTGGTCGCTAACCACCAACCCCATGTTGACCTTTACATGAAGGATTGCTGCTTGACAATTCACCTCAGCCACCGAGGAAGCTAACCGCTAATTATGAAGCAACAGAGCTGATGCCGATTCTGGGATTATCTCGTCACGTAATCAGTGCTGGGGACGTTCTCCCTCCTCCCCGTCTCGTTTGTTTCGCCCTTCTTCTCCAAACTCTTCCTCTCGTTCTCTCAGACAGCATGTCTCTGTGGTGTGCTCTGTTCCAAATTAGCCCGACTCTCTGAATCCAGCCGTCGTTACGACTCCCTCAACCGAGGATGTGAAAATAAATGGATCTGGAGAGAAGGGGAAAAAGAGGAGAGTGAACGGGTTACAATGGGGCTATTGTCTGCTGCCACGGGGCCATGGAAGAGAGAGGAAAGGAAGAAGTGGATGATGAGGAAAAAACGGTTTGGGAGCTAATGAGTGGGATGAGAAAGGAAAAAGTAAATGGGGATGAATAAATGTGGAAAAAAAAGAGACTGAAATGTCAGGTATGGGACGAGGAGTCAAACACCTGGAGGAGAGGAGAAATTACTCCTTAAAGGAAAGACAAAGTTTATTTGTGTAGCAACAAGGCAGTTCAAAGTGCTTTGCATTAAAAATTATACTACAGTTATCATGAAACATGCGATAAACATTCTTCCAAATGAAGCAAATATACATAAAATATGTTGAGCAATGTTCCACTTATTAGTAATCAAAAGCAACTAATCAGGTGGGTTTTTAATCTTGACTTAAAGGAACTCTGTGTTTCTGCTGTTTTTCAGTTTTCTGGAAGTTTGTTTCAGATTTGTGGTGCATAGAAGCTGAATGCCGTTTCTCCTTGTTTGGTTCTGGGAATGTACAGCAGAACCAAAGACCTCACAGGTCTGGAAGGTCTGTACATTAGAAACTACTTTAAAACTTGGGTGATGTGCTCCATCTTCCTGAGTTAGAACGAGGTTTTAGTCAGGCCAGCAGCAGCGTTCTGGATCTGCTGCAGCTGGAGAATAGATATTTTTTTCTTTTGTAGGTCTGTGAAAACACTGTCGCAGTAATCAGTTCGACTAAAGATAAATGCATGGATGAGTTTCTCTAGATCTTGTTGAAACATCATTTCTCTAATCCTAGAAAAGTTCCTCAGGTGATAGAAGGCCGACTTTGTAATCGTCTTTATGTGACTGTGAAAGTTCAGGGAAGAGAAACCAAGAAAAACGGAGCAAAGTTTAAGGGAAAAGTAATATCATCTGAAGCAGTTTTATCCACACCTTTTTGTTATATAGGCCAATACATTTATGTTTGCGTCTAAAAACAGAAATGTTTTAAATCAATTCAGCACTGATTTTCTGTATCGGATTATTGTTGGTCGATACGAAAGGTTAGATGTCAGAATTGGTATTGGAAGTGAAAAAAGTGGATAATTGAATCCATCTTCTACAAAATGGGTCAGAAGATCATTGTATGTGCAAAATAAAACATAAAAAAGGTCTTTTAAAATAAATAAGGTCAAACTCTTCTTAGTATCAAACAAGCCTACAGTTTCAACCTTTTTTGGTTGATTTGCTCTTGAGTAAAACCATAACATTGAGTTCTATCCAATCTCTCCAACACTGGATTTGAATCTACTGGTAATTTTGGGTGATCTTTCATCAAAGAACCCAAGGCGGGACTGAGAGGTGAGACTACGATGGGAATGAAGTCATGACGAAATGCAGCAAAAATCGAAAAATATTCAGAGGAAGTAGAGAAACCAGAAGCTTTTCCTCATCATTTAACATTTCTGTCTTTCATCTCATCACATTTCCACAAGTCTTAGAACCTGTTGTCTCTCCTCCACCTCCTCTCTGCCTCCTTTAGTTCCCCGTCTCCTCCCGTTTTCCTGCTCTGCAGCGACAGACGGGTCTGGAGCTTTTGCTCCGTCGTCCTAACGGGAAACAGATTGCAGGGCCTGTGAAGTGGAGGAAGATGGATTACCTGTATCTAGTTACCGAACACACACGTGTGTGTGTGTGCGCGTGGCGCGTCGGTGTATCGAACCATCACAAGGAAAGAGAAAATGTACCGTTGTGGGTTGCTGTGTCACTCTGCCCAGCAGGGGCATCAGGCTGCATTATTTCTGACGTTTCAGCTCCTCATCTGTTAAATAGTAGCAGCACAGAGTTTTGACCTCGACTTTTACTGGCTAAGCTACACAAACATTGCTAATTAGCCAATTAAACTAGGGCATAACAACAACATAAACGACCTCAGCAACCATTTTTCATCCGTCTCAGATTTCTGTTTCCAACAGATGGAGCTTCCTGACAGTTTGAGGAAGAAATTTAATCACCTGGAGAAGAAAAACAAGATTTTCTTTACATATAAGAGAAGACAAAATAGCTGACAAAGTAACTGATTTGCAATATTTGCGTTATTTGCAATGTTTTCAGATTAAAATTAACGTCTAATTCTTCACAACGCAATGTTTACAGTATGTATGTCCCAATCAGGATGTTCTCAGTCTTAATCAGGTGGATCCTCGTTTTATTTTTAAGTCTGATCCTTTGTTATTGGTTTGATTTTTTAAATCAATGAGGCAACAGTCTCAGGAAAATGCTCCCGTTTTTCCGTACAAGTGGAACGATTTTCCGCAGAACAATGATCCAGGTTTATGTGTCTGTCTTTTGTCATTACGGAAATAATGCCTTCTAAAAATATAAATAAAAACAGGAAACTGTGGTCAGGAATCAACGAGCGCTCGTATCCAAAACAACATGAAAAAACACTAGCAATATATTATCAAATAATCAACTTATTAGTTTGATATTTTTCTTGCTATTTTTTTCCGTCTTGAACCAGCATTAGTTATATTCCCACGCTGAGCTTCTGACCTCCCTCATTGTGGCCAAAACATTTCTTTTTATTTTTGTTTCTGTGGGAAAACCCTTGGAGATGTGAGGGCATCTTTCCATCCACGCCCTGACGGGCTTCAGCTCCTTTTGAACATGGCTTCCTTTGCTCGCCGGCGCCGACACGTAGGCTACGCTTCACTCTGCCGAAGGGGACGTCGACGGACACGCCAGGGACCTGGAGCGGCTTGGTTTGGGCCGCTAATGACAGCCATGATGAGAAAAACTGGTGTGCACGCAAGACCCGGAAGAATGCGGCATGCTGGAAGAATAACAATGCCATCTTTGATCTGATGCCCACATGCGGGCGGTCGCACAATCACAAGGTAAATGAGTCATAAAAGACAATAAGTGCTAAGAAAATCAGTGGAAAATGCTCCGAACAGGAGGGGGAACATTTCCAAGCGTCAAACAAACTCAGGTTTTCCAAAAACTTAATCTGGGAAATTAGAGGAAACAGTATGTCTTCGACTTGAATTGAGTTTTGCTTTCAAATGCAAATGAACATAATCAGATGTGAAAAGAGGCAGAGAGGGAGAACATCTCTGAAGACGTCAGCATCAACGTCAAGAAGACCCACTTGGCGCTTCGGCTCGCCTCTTGCATTCCTCGGCAGGTGTGTTCGGTACACTGTTGACGCACTCGCCGAGCTCCTGTTCAAACCGGTCGCACAAAGGTGGGTTGTTCTGCGAGGGGAACCCTCTTAAAGCCGGCCTTTCTTCTGGGGAAGCCTTTCTATGTGGTGCTTGAAGCAGAAGTGCAGGACTGTGCGTCACCAGAAACATTTGGGACAGAGGGGGTAAATTGGGAGGAAGAAGAGATGGTGCATAAAGTGGTCCAAATTCTCCAAACAAGTATTGAGGTAAAACCAGGAGGTAGATGGGTGGATTCACTGAGAAATCTCCAACAAGCTGGCATTTTTGGATCAAATCTGTGAAATTACCATCAGCACAACTGCAGCAATCACTTCACTGCTGACTAGTTTACAGTCAAAGTTATTAAATCTTTCCTTATCAGCCTGGCAAAACTGCTTCATACTTCTAATTTTACAATCACAAACTTCACTGAACCTCAAGCCGGACCATTGCAGGTACCAAGAACAACACTAGAGGCCTCAGTTACATTTGTAAACATAAAGACGTGACACGCTGTAGAAATCCTCAATATCTAGATGGACATTAGATATTGATTAAAAAACCTGCAAAATTATGACGTTTTCCCCTGAGTAGGAACCCTGAATGCACCACAGAGCTAAACTGATTAGAAGATCAGTTTAGTTGAACAAAAGAACCAAAATCCAACCAAACGCCCATATTTTCATGATCAATTTCACCTATTGATTATTTTCTTTGGAAAATTAAAATAATTTCTTAATATGTAACTGACAAAATGTAATATTTATTGCTTATTTCATAATTGGTGATTGATTTTTTTTATGAAGTAGAGCACTTTAAACTAATAAAGCACTAATAAAGTTTATTAGAGCACTTTGCTCAAATAAACTTGGACTTTACCCATTTTATTTTTCTCAAAAATAGTTTTCTGCACATTTTTCTCCACAACCAGCAATTATTATTTCCATTTGAATGGATTAAAACATTGCGATTCTTCTGAATAACCTGACTGATGCGAAAGGTAACAATTAACGCAGGTTTAAGATGTGATCCGTTTCTGCTTTAAGTCTAATTTTATTCACTGACTCATCGTCCTTCCTGTCTTTTTTTTATTTTCATTATTATCTCCCTGACGTTTTCTCACGTTTGGAGCAACAAGGCTTCCAGTACAAAACACTTGGTCTCCGTCTGCAAACTTGTTATTTTTATGTAAGATTTGTGTTTTTTCTTTGTTATGTACAATTCTTAGCATCTGAATCCTGGTTTGTTTGGTTTCCATATTTTATTTCCTGGGGAGTTTTGTTGAACAGATGCGGTGCAGCTTCTGCAGAGACGGTGTGTCATTGTTATCAGCTAACATCTGGTTTTGGTGTCAGACTCTGAGAATCAAAGGACCTCCATCGCTGCGCTCTGAAGTCGAGCCAAAGAGCCTCCCGCTTCTCCTCCGCACAACTTGAAAAGCTTTCTGGGAAATGTAGGAAATAACTAGGACAGACAGAAACAATGCAGGTCGGCCGGTCCCAGGGTACAAGAAAGAGGGAACCGGTTTCTGAGAGCGACGTTTGACCCTGGTGACCTTCTGCTTCGTGTTTCTGTTCAGGCTCAGCTGCAGCGCTCGCTGGACAGCTCCGTCACCCTGCAGCCCAGAGCTCTGATTGGCCGGCGCGGCAGGAAGGAGGCGGCGGTGGTAACAGAGGGCAGCGGAGAGGGCGGCAGTCCCCTGTCTGAACAGGACTCTAGCATTCTGGACGTGGAGGATGAAGAGGAGGAAGATGTGAGCATGACAGCACCGCAAACACATCCAAGTTACAGCTGTGATCTGATCTGATAGAGGTTCATGTTTAACAACAATGAAATAATTAAGCAGCTTTTTAAAATCTCAACCTATTAATAAGGATTTTCCACCTTCTCTTTTAACATCACTATTTATTTATTTAATTTGTTTTTTAATTGATTAATCAACCTAAATTTAATTTGTAAATAACATATTTTAAATAATCACTTGCATTAGTTTTAGTTTGGTTTATTTTATTGATTTAATCAAATTATTTTTGATTAATTAGTTCATTGATTAATTCAATTTTGTTTGAATAAATTTTAGAATTAAAAATCAATGTGCAAATATTTGAAGTTAAACTCATGGATGGAAAAAAAAACCTTTTTAGACAGATAACATATTTCTTATGACTTTTTGGCAACATATGTACTTTTATTCAAAGGCTGTTTTGAAAATAGAATTTTTCTCAAACATAAAAAAAAACATACTTTCAAAATGAGTTTGATGTTTTTAAAGTTGGAAGCAGTTTGAAAGCTTTGTTTGATTTAAGTACGATCTCTGATCAAACGTTCCCTCCAAATCCTTCCATCGACGATGTTTTTATCAGAGCCGAAGCGCAATAAGCACCTCTGTGCAGCTGCTTGATTGTCTGCGCATCATTTCCACCTTAAGAATCATCAAACCTGACCTGTTTGGAGTCAATCTGATGATCCGATCCCATTTTTATCTTTCAGTGAGAATGAAATTACCTGCAGATAATTTGTGCATTTGATTTACATTCCAGTGAGGTTTTCCCATTCTTTGATTTTTATTTATTTAGTTGCTGTTGTGTATGCCAGGCTGTTGCCAGAGCAGAAATGTTCAACTAAGTTTAAGCAATAAAAGATGGCATTTGTGGCTCCATGAATGCCATCTTGCCACGGCGGCGTTCTGACCTGCTGTTAGCCGTCCCTGGCCGGATCGGAGTTCCTCTGTTGTTCCCACTCGAGGAAAACCAAGTACAATGCAGCTGAACTTGTCACCTCCCTGCCCGCCCTGCGCTGGCACTGATGTTCAGGTCTCTGTGGCTTATTGACGTCCTGTAAACTCGACTCAACCTTCTTCGTGTGAAGACCTTGTTTGGAACAAAGGCCTGACCCCGCAGTCGTCAGGGTTAGGACCGTTTTGGCGCCAGCGGCCTTCAAAAATGCCAACCACCAGCCCGTCTTTCCCTTCCCTTCATTTAATGACTCTTATTTCTGTTTCACTCCTTTTTTTTTTTTGTTTAGCTGCTTTTATTATTCGACATCAAAACATCTTTTCAACACCTTTAACTTTTGTCTCTCTTTTATCTTTTATCCGCTCGTAATTCATTATTTGTCCAATTTTGTTTCAGTTCTTTGTATTTTACAGAAAACACAACTGCTAAATCTACAAGAACATTTTATTTTAAACAGTCTGTGAATGTCCAGAAACAGAAAATAATAGAGTGAAACTGCCACTAGTTTTAGTTTTTATTATATTTTATTAAACTTTTGTTTAAGTGGGACACTTTAAATCACAATTTGTTGTTTGCATTTTTAAAAATCTGTAAATTAACTGGAAAGACCTAAAATGTCAACAACAACAAAAAAGGGTTTTAAAATAGCATTTAAATAATTTTAAAAAGTCTTTAAATTCATTAAAATGCTTTATGGGATTATTTTTAGTACTTGAGGGGAGACAGTTTTTGGAGAAAAATAAATAAATATATACGCAAAATTAATCAAACAATGCTTTCAAAATTTGTTCTATTTATTAAAAGTAAACTCATTTATCTCTCTTTTTTAATCAACTTTCAGAATTTTTTCAATATTCAAACATTCTTCAAAAATGTAACAACTAGTTTCTCTTTGTATCTGTCAGTTAATCATTAAAGATATTTATGAATTAATGGAGTCAGGGGCCTAATTATGCATACACTGTTTTAAAACGGATCACTTTTCTTTATTTTGGCTGATTATTTCTTTTACTTTTTTTGTTTTAATCAACTCATGTGGTTTGAAAATGTTAGAAAGCACACAGATGTAGCATTAATGTTTTTTTATTGTCATTTTAGTAAATTTATTAACGTAAAATTCTCTGTGAAAATTCATTCTTCAAAAATGTAACAGCTGGTGAAATTTATTTTAGAAATGTATAGTTTTTCTATGTTTTGCTGCTTATTTAGCTACAACTGTAATAATTTGGTGTCATTTATTAAATCAAAAGTATTTCCCTGTTTTTAGAGGATTAAAGATGGTAAATGTTTGTGTAACCAGGTCCCAGGAGCTCAGGATCTGGTGGATTTCTCCCCAGTGTACCGCTGCCTCCATATCTACACTGTGCTGGTGAGTCATTCCTCTTCATGTTTTCCTTTCCTTCCTGCAAACTAAATAACTGTGAACGCATTTCCACCTCTGCTCTTAATCCACTTGTCATCTCGTTCTCACCAGCTGCATTAAATCACCTTTTCTGGTCTTTATTTCTCCAGAATAAATGAAGTCAAATGACTTTATGCTGATGATGCTGTTCTGGTTCCACATTAGATCAAGCAATCACCAATCTACAGTCTACATTTTATATTTTTGAACATAACTTCACAACTTTAAAATTGCAGTTAAATTCAAAGAGAGCTAAACTGATGATATTTTCTCTGATTAAAATAAAACCCCAGCTGTCCATTATCTTACACTTACAGAAACTGACGTAGTGTCATATTGGAAAATACTTCAATATAAACATTGATCAGTTTATTGGTCTTTCACTTTGCATATTCCAAATTTGGTAAGGAAGTTTAAGTTGAGATTCAGTGCAAATTAAAACGTTTTTTATTTGTTATTCTTTAATGTACTCCAGGATTTGTTGATTTTCTCTTTTCATTCAACGTTGGATTCACTGTCGTCTTTTTATTATTGATAAGGCATTACTTAGACTGCTTCCTCCCTACTTGATTTTCTGTTATCTTTTTTTATCCCTAGAGTCTGTGGTATATATATAAAAAAGCTTTTCATTTCAGGTTTAGTCTTGTTTTATTTCTTCGAGTGTTGCATGTTATTTTTCCTGGTTAATTACAAGCTGAAAAACTGTTGGTTGTGTCTGATTCGTCAGCATAACCAGGTGTTACTCCAGTGCATCAGACTCATTGAGTTTGACGATGTATTTGCAACCAGCAGGAGGTTTCTGTTGTGTTCTCCGAGGCCTCCAAGTTCAGGCCTGGCTTCGTTCCAACCGAGCTGCGTGTCTCTTCTCAGTCTGAGCGAAAGCGACACGGGTGGAGGTGTTGACTGGGCCACGGTGGGGTCAGCTGCACATTTCTGGGTCTGACTGAGCGTGTTTGTGTGTTGGGGTTGTGACCGGGCCAGCTCGGCCACGGGGTCGGTGTTTCTGTGCACTGAGGGTTTTTTGTGTGGTGGGGGCTTTGAGAGGGGCTAACAGGAAGTGCATGAACTTTGACAGGAAGGAGAACGATGGAGGGAGTAAAGGAAAGCAGAATCAGGGTGAGAGAAAGGCTACGAAGGAAGAGATGATGGAGAGAGCGCAGGAGTAGAAGCTCCTGGGAAAATCGGCCAATTAAGAGACGTTTGACCAGGTTTAGACAGGTGATGGTGTCAACATTTCTAAAGTGAAGAAGGAGAAGAATTTATCAAAGCTAATCTTTGTCTATTCATATTTTTATGGTGTTTTTGGCTGGTTTTAACAACTTGTTACCAATGTGTACTTTCTTTTGTGGTGCATCTTGCAAAAGTATTTGTACACCTTGAATTTTTACAATTTGTATCTGTGGATCAACACAGATAAAATTTGAGCATTTTATGGTATTCATCAGGAAGGGCTTGAAACCAGTTTTGAAATGTGTTTTTGATAGGACCAGTCTTGAATCCATGCCTGATATGACCAATCTAAATTGATCATCCAACTTTTGTGCAATGTAAGCTGATGAATTCAGTTTGCAGATTGTATTTTAATAGCTTAAATATCAGTATGTGATAATTAGTTTAACACCAAGTAGTTAAAGTTGAGTGGTTACTCATGTTTCTTGGAAGGTCTTGGACATGGTCCTGGAAGGTTTTGTGAAGTTTGGTCTTGGTTTCGAAAGGTTTGGTCATAGTTTTGGAAGGTTTGTTTTTGGTCTTTGAAGGTTTGGTCTTGGTTTTGGAAGGTGTGGTCTTGGAATAATTTGCCTTGGTTTTGGAAGGTTTGGTTTTGATCTTTGAAGGATTGGCCTTGGTTTTGAAATGCTTTAAGTTTTGGAAGGCTTGGTCTTGGTTCTGGTCTTGGAAGGATTGGCCTTTGTCCCCAAATGCCTCTTCATCTCTAGCCTCAATACATTTCTTGTAAAATGTCAGATTTGAGATGTTTCAAAAGGAAATCCTGGTGGTGAAAAACCAACAAAGACTTGGTGGTTTCACAGAGTGCAGACCCAGGAAGAGGCTGAAGTGATACTTGTCTGTCTTTTTAGGATCTTAAGAGGAATGGCTGCACAACACCGAACGGAAAGATTACCGGAAGCAAATAAATACTCATTTGATGTACGTATCAAAAAAACCAAGATGAATAAAAAATTGATGGAGGATATAAAATCAGTAGAAGAAAAACTTTTAAGCAATGAATAAGCTATGGTTGGAGAGGATGAAGGCCCTTGGAGGCATAGCACTGGAGAGTGAATCAGCTAAAGAGCGATAAGGACAGGTCAGAAGGGGAGGAATGGAGGAAGGTCGAAGGGAGGCTGAAAGGGCAGAAACAGGAAAGCGAGGAAGAAAACACAACACAGAGGGGTTGAGATTAGAGAGAGGGAGGCAGCTACTGTGGGAGAAGAAGAGCAGAAGAAGGTGTTGAAAGGTCTGCTCATTTTGCTCTCTGATTTCGGTCACCACTCATTTTGCCTCTCTGATGTTCGTGCTCACATTTTGGCTGTAAAAAGTGACGGAACGCTTTCATTAACTTTTCTGGGGAGTCTGGAAGAGGAATCTTCTTTCCTCTCTCTCCCCTTGCCGTTTTCCGTGCCCAAAGTCCACATTTTTCCAGCAGTTATTAAGCAACGTGCAGGCCGAACAATGCGCCTTTGTTGTAATTCATGTTGGGAACGTGGGCCGAGTTATGATTGATGTAAACACGGCAAGCAGAGAGGGAGGGGAGGTTGACAGCGAGGCGCTTTCTTCAGAATCGGAGCTGACCTGCTGAGGTTTCTTCTGGAGGAGACATCGTTGGTTGGACTAAAGCGAAGGAAAATCGAGCACACACAAGACTTTACGGTCTTTAAAGAGACGGGGAAATGGTGCAGGTTGCTTTTTTACGATCCTCCAGTGTGGAAATGTTCAGCAAAGAGGAAAATCCATGAACACCGAGAAGGAGCTTGGTCAAAATAAGACCTAGTTTTCCAAGTCGCCTAACAAGCTTCTTCTGATGTGATGAGAGTTACCTGAAAGTTAACAGCTACACAGAGCTGTTGAAAGTGTTTGCACGTTTTGAATATATAAAGACAACCTGAATAAATACTAAAACCCATTATTTTAGTCAATTATTCTGGGAAAAAGCATCCAAACCATGTGTGAAAATATTGTTGCTGGTTTGCTGAATAAAAACTGATTCGCCATATTTGTTTTGGTTTCACTTGCATTCAATTTATCACAAGATTAATTGATTTATTGCTTATTGTGACAGGCTTACATATAAAATCCCCATTTAAGGCATCTTTGGACGTGACATATATTTAAAAAAAACCCAAAAGATTAAAACATGTAAGTGTGACAAAGCAAGGGAAATGTTTTTTTCTTATCTATAAATTAACATTTTTAACCTTAAAGTTTCTACGATAAACAAGTGAACATTTGCTGTAATGTAACCTTAAAACAGCAAGTTGTATTCCAACATCTCAGTCTGTTTACATTAACCTCTCATTTTATTGGTTTTTATCATTCTCAGTTTGCTTCAGTCTCTGCATATCCTTTGTTTCTGTGGCGATACAAAGGTCACACGTCCACATCCCAGCCCAGGTTTCACCCCTCAGCTCCCCTCTCTGGGATCCCAGCGCCGTAAAACGAAGAGTTCACGGCCGTTTGATGCCGCTCGCTTGTTTGAATGCTCATTGTTCGGCTTAGGGTCAAACTGGGAATTAAAGAATTAAAGCACGCCGTGTTTTCATCTCACAGCATCAAACCAAACAGAGTTCAAAGATGTTATCTAGATCTCCACCAATGAGATTCATATTTTTCTGCCAAATGCTTTGTTGTATTTGTAACTTCTTGCTTTCAATGGACATCTTGCAGCCAAGACTTGCTATTAAAAAAAAAGAATATTGTTTACTTTAAGTGCAAAGCGATCATGTTGACTCTTTGGTCCCTTCAGGTCATACAAAGGCTTCTTGAGATTAATAGAAATCCTTCCTGCCCACAGCAACTCTTTGACGATACTCACATTTCACGAGTACTTTTGGTAAGACGTATTCCAGACAGATCAGTTTCCTATAAATTAAATAATCTGCACAATTTACAGATTACATTCAAATAAATAACTATTCCTGATGAACAGAGATTTTACTTTCTGTGTAAGTAGAAAATGGTTGGCACATTTCTGCAAATCTGCTAATGCGCTAATAACGCTAATAACGAAGCTAACTTTAGCTTCCCCTACATTAATATTTCTAGATAAATTCTAAATCGATAATTTACGCTGTTTTGTAAACTTTTAATTGACTTCTTTTTCAAGTTTGGTAAATATTTATATTCATGCTCTTATTTTGAAGTTGACAACTTTTTTTTTTTACAACAGTAAATAGCTGCTAATGTGCTCACTGCAAAACTGACTTTTTGTCTAGCGCTGTAGCTAACTTTGAAAATGTTTATCACAGTTAGCTTCACATACTTTAATTTTCCAAGATAAAATTAGTTTCTGTTTGAATTTTTGCTTATAATATTCTTCTTCTTCATGTAAGTAGATATTTACATTCATGCTCTTATTCTGAAGGGGGTGACGGCTGTTTATCCAGCAGTTCCACTTCCTCTCCTCACGTTCTCTGTCTGTTTTCCTAATAACTTTATTTAAAACAAAAAGCATCTTAACAAAATAAAACTGACAGTAAGGTACAAGTTAGTGAAGTTAGCGCCTTAGCATTAGCTTCTGCTAAATATTGTGTAGGAGTAGCACTTTAAGTTTAGCTCAGTTAAGGCAAAAATCTGTGCAAATGCAACTTCGGCTGCATAAATCAGTTGAAAAGTGGTCAGATTGTCCAAAGAAAAATGGAAGTTTATGTGCTTTATTGTGTAAGTGTGAGAAATTGGTGCATGTAGATGTCAGCGAATAACCTGATCTCTATTTGTTATCACAGTGGTAACAGCTGGTGGTCCATTGCAGCAGATATGTGGGAGTTTATCCATGGTGGTCTGGTCAGGACCTGAGGGGTTCTGGCTGCAGGCTTTTATCTCTGACCTCAGCAGTGACTGTAGGTCCTGGTTTCAGACCTCAAACAGATTTCGCACAGAACCACAGGGAGATAAGAGATAAACAGCTTCTGTGTAATGGAAGAAATAGATATGAAGTGATCAAGTTTACAAAAACAGATGCAGCTTCTGTCTGTGTGTTAAGGCGGTGGTTGACCTCACCGACGGCTGACCGATGAGGTCACAGTCTGTTATTCACTTATTTAAAATAGCTACACTGAGGTAATTGGGTCAATTTCGCTTACCATAACAACTTGGTGATGAAAAAATCTAACCTTTCAGGGTACAACTTGTAATCTTAACTGTGAAATACTAATAATTTCCTTTATCCATTTCAGGTTTGGTAGAAGCTTTCAAACTCATACACTTGCTGTGCTCTGTTTGTTCACTTTTGGTTTTTAACCCCCATTTACGTTTTAGGGTTTGCGTGATGTGTTTGAGAACTACTACAGAAAGCAGAGGAGGAAACAAGCTCGCCTCGTACTGCAGCCGCACTCTAACATGGTACGACCCCGCACTGTCACGGTCATGGAGGGCCACACACTTCTAACTCCACACACAACCCCAACCTGACTCACTGATGCACCTAAAAAACACCTTAACAAATGTGAAAAAGGGCTTTATTTTGAAAGTCATTGATGTGCTGTATTAAATGTAAACCTTTTACCAAAGTGAATTAATGCTAGCTAGCATTACCTTAAATATACAGTAGTCTGTGTGATCTCAGTTTGGAGAACCATTTATAATATCACACAAAGAAATCAAACTTTTGTTCAAGTAACTGGAAGCAAATTTATGGCTATCTAGGATTAAGAAAACAGCCAGCTAGGGTTAAGCTAACAGCTGACTTGAGTTGATCAGACAAGGTACATTGGCAAGGCAATGATAGTCAAGTTAAACCAATAAGCTAGAATGATGCTAAAAACTAACATGAGTAAACATTAGAGCTAACTCCTAATAAACTGAAGGCTAACTAGGGTGAAGCTAAAAGCAAATTAGATTAAGTCAGTGCTTCTCAATTATTTTCCGTTACGCCCCCCTAGCAAGAAGAAAACTATTCGCGCCCCCATTCCCCACCGTGACTATCCATCTCTGCATAACATTTTTTCGCTGAAAAACTCTAGCGGCTTATCGGCGTGATTGGGATGTAACGTATTTAAGTGACGCCCTAATTTATTTGGCTTCATGCTGTCCGCTGCGAGCATTTTTAGACACAGCAAACACACCGGTCTTTCCTCTTCTCCAACTGTAGTCACAGTGAAGCCAAGCGCTAAATAAGCTTTGTCGTATTTCCTCTTCTTAGCTTTCGGTTGACTTTCTGTTGTCTCATTATCTTTGTCTCTCTCCGCGTTTCTTTTCATCCCTGTGAAAAACTTTTCATGTTGGGGGTTGTTGAATAACGGAGGTCATAGACAGAACGCAGTCGGAGCTTTTTGTTGACTTAACACTGTTAAGTCAACAAAAAGTTGACTTAAGGCTGTTCCCCAGGATCTCACGCCCCCCCAGGTATCGCACCGCGCCCCCCAAAGGGGGCCCGCCCACTATTTGAGAAGCACTGGATTAAGTGCAGGCAAACCAGGGTATAGCTAAAAGCCACTTGTATTGAACATAACAAATAACTTCAGATAAACTAAGGGCTAACTCAGATAAAGCTAATGGCTAACTGACTTAGCAGGTAGCTACAGATAAACACAAGGCTAACTCGGATGAAGCTAAAAGCTAACTGGATTAACTGGTAGCTACAGATAAACTGAAGGCTAACTAGGGTGAAGCTAAAAGCCACTTGTATTGAACATAACAAATAACTTCAGATAAACTAAAGGCTAACTCAGATAAAGCTAATGGCTAACTGACTTAGCAGGTAGCTACAGATAAACACAAGGCTAACTCGGATGAAGCTAAAAGCTAACTGGATTAACTGGTAGCTACAGATAAACTGAAGGCTAACTAGGGTGAAGCTAAAAGCCACTTGTATTGAACATAACAAATAACTTCAGATAAACTAAAGGCTAACTCAGATAAAGCTAATGGCTAACTGGATTAACAGGTAGCTACAGATAAACTGAAGGTTAACTGGGATGAAGTGAAAGGCTAACTGTAAACATAAATTAACTTCACATAAGGTGAAGGCTATTTAGTTTATCTGTTAGCTGAAAGCTAATTGGTTTAAACATAAGTGATAACTAGTTAATACAGCTACTCATAGTGAAACTATTTCTACTCTAAACAAATTCTATGTAGCAATTGCAAAGCTATTTTTTTCTTTTCCATTTTTTTCTCCGAAGAGCTTTTAGCAGCGCTAGTGGCTCGCATTTTTTGACAGTAGACTGACAGGAAAGAGGACAAGGAGAAGGGGAAAGACATGCGGTAAAGGTCGCCGGGCCCGGGAGTCGAACCCACAACGTCCGCATTGAGGACTGAGGCCTCCAAACGCCCCTCAAAGCTATTTTTAATCATCTTTTTTTCCTTTACACTCCAAGGCAGAATTAGACATTTATCCTACAGACATTTTTATCTTGCAAATTAGCCACTTAATGCTGAATGTTGATTAAACTTCATTCAAGCTTGGTTTTTAGTGATAATTTGTAACTTTTATGTATTTCTGTACTTCTGTTTCTTTTCCTTCTACTCGTTTCTAGCATGAAACCCTGGAGGGATACAGGAGGTACTTCAATCAGATTGTCGGGTAGGTCCATCCTTTAATAGCTTGCTTTTTAAAATTTATATAAACTGAAATAATAGTCGTACAACGTGTACCAGTGGCCACATAATATTTTGAAATATTTGGTTTTCAAAATGTCTTGAACAAGCAGTTTCTGATTGGTTTATCTATTTATCCTTCCTTCTGTCATCTTCATGACTTTTTTATGCAGCTATTTATATATATTTGGAAATTTCATAAAGCTAAGACTCAGTTGGCATGTTAAACATTGAAGTTCATCACAGGACAGAGTCTCGTCTCTCGTTGATAAGATTCATGTAAATAAACCACAAGAGCTATAAATCGATGTCCTTTAGGACAGACCAGAAGTGTCGGCTGATTTGAGGTTCACCCACTTCTTCTGAGTTGAGTGGGAGGTAATATACCAGAGTTAATTTATAATCTGCAAGCTAGAGATCAAGACGTTGCTGAAAACATCTGAGGTTTATTGCTGTTATGTTTTCCAAGTTTTTTCACACACACACAAGAAAAAACAAACGAGAGAAATTGTTTGAAATCGGTCAAAAAAGTGGCCATTTTTCCCGCAGTCGTCTGAAAGCAGAGAAAACTCGCTGCAGCTCGTTGTGGTCTGGCGAAGTCTGAGCGGCCGACGATTTGATTGAGACGTTCTGTCAGCGCACATAAACCAAAATCACTGCAGACGCTTTGATCCGTTCATTCGGGCTTCGTGTCGGGAACGACTAGGACGTCGGCATCATGAAACTGGATGGATGCACCGCTTGCATTCAGTGCCTGATTGTACAGCAAGGATTCATCTCTGCTGCTCTGGAAATGCAGAAAAGCTGCAAAAGTATCGATCCTGATCATTATTGATGAAGTTTTTCTAACTTAAGGAGTCATGAGGAGTTTGTGTTGCAGCTTTTTGTTACAAACTTGATTAATTTCTAAAATATTCATTATGTGTCAGTAGAATACATTTACATAATGTTTTCATCAGAATGGGAGATATGGCTTAAAGTTAAAATTTTATCAGAAAAAGATATGAAAAAAGTTGTTTTAATCAGAAAAATCTTTGAAAAAGTTAATTTGATTTGAACAGCTCAGTTGGTCTAGATTTTTTAAAAATAGAAACATTTGTTGCACAATCGTTTATAAGTTGTGTTACAGATAATTTGACGGTGATGTGTCAAAATATTAAGCATTTCTCTGAACTATTCTGTAAACTCCACTGCGCCCTCTAGGTACGCAGTGCAAAGATGATGCTCAACGTTGAGCATCAAAGTTGAGCATCATCTTTGCAAGACACTCAAAATTACTATTTTTTTGTATTTTCCTGTTGGAGTTCACATAAAATCACTACTTCATTCAAATATTACAACTGCTTTCTTCTAATATTACGATTTTATTGTCTTAGTTAAAAATAAACAGCTTAGTCTGGGCGTAATATTTTGTTGTGGAGTTGACCAGAATTGAAAAATCCAAATAAGTAAAAATACGCTTGTCAAACGAGATGGCTGCCTTGGACTTGCTGACATCACCCAGGGAGTTCATTGGTGGGGAAAAAAAAATCTGGATTTGCTAAGATTTAATCTCCAAAAACCAAAAATTCGATTAATAGATTTAAAAAGTTTTTTTTATTTTATTTAACTTAAATTTGTTTCTTGTTCATGAAGTGTTGGCGTTTCTCTCTCCGTCCAGCTTCTTTGTCGTGGAGGACCACATCCTTCACACCACCCAGGGGTTGGTCAACAAAGCCTACGTGGAGGAGCTCTGGGAGTTGGCTTTGTCTAAAATTGTCGCTGCCTTGAGGACGCACTCTGTAAGATGTTTTCTAAACTAATTATCAAAAATCAGATCGATTATTCTGATCACTCAGTCACAATTGACTGAGTTTTCTTATACTACTGTAAACTTCTGCATAATAACAGTTCAATATTGTCTGATTTTTCTAAAATATTCAATAAAGAAAATCCTGCAATAGAATCATAAACCATCAGACCTGTTAGGTACAGGAAGTTTATAACTGGTGTTATGTTTTGATTTATACATTTTTTTTGTTGCATTAGAAATGGCTGATGGAAAGAACAAATTTAAAAATAACTTCCAATATCACAAAAACTTGATTTGGTCACTTGATTTGGTTTTTGGGTTTTCTGAAAAAGAGCTAATGTGTTGAAGGAGATGAAAACATGTTACCAGAGGCACAAATCTCAGAGAAATTTCAAACCTCCAGGCCAGAGGGAAAATGCTCTTGATTTCTCTGAGATGTGGTCGATGATGGTTTCCAACATCTACACTGCAAAAACACAATTTTACCAAGTATTTTTGGTCTCGTTTGTAGAATAAATATCTTATTTTTGTTTTGTCAAGTTCACCAACTTACAAGAAACCTTTGGCCAGATACAGAGAGTTGTGTTGAGTAAATAATTCCTTAAAATTGATGAGACAGTTCTAGTTCCATTGGCAGATTATTTCATTTATAACATGACATTTTTTAGATAAATTAATTTATATCCCAATAGAACTAGTACTTGTTTATCAATATAAAGGATTTTTTTTTACAACTTCTATTTCTCGCTGAAAAGTGACTTGTTAGTTAGTTTTGTCTCATTTCAAGTTTACTAAGATATTTCCTCTACAAATTAGACCAAAATTACTTGGTAAGATTTTGTGTTTTTGCAGTGTACTCGCAAATAAATCAAACAAAGATAAAGCAAACCAACTTTCTGATTTTAACATTTGTAAATAATTTTGGTGTTTCTGCCGATCTTCTAAATAACGTCCTGGTCTGTCTCTGCAGTCGTACTGTGACGACCCGGACCTGGTTCTGGATCTGAAGAACCTCATCGTCCTGTTTGCCGACACTTTGCAGGTTTGTGTTTGAACCTCTGAAGTCCTCAAACATCCTTGCCTCTTTTAACCCGGAGGACCATGAATCTTTTCTGAAAACTTGTTTTATCAGCATTCAGTCTGTGTCCAAGTGGACAGCTGCCAGTTTCCAGAGACTCCTTAATAGCCAAACCATGTTAGAAATAATAGTTCATCATCCAATGTGAGTTTTACTGTTTATGCGTCTCTGTTTATGAGCGGCCCTCGATGGATTGAGTGTGATGGATGAGTGGATGGAGAGATGGTGAGGGGTGTGGGTGAAAGCTGGATGGGATGAAAGCATGGAGTCTGATGAATGGGTGGTCTGATGCCCACCAGTCGTTTATGTGAAGTGATGAGGAGCAGCTGAATCGATGCGCTCATATTTTTATTGGCTTTTCTGTTCCAGAAAAGGAAACACCAGGCTCCTTTTCATGATTGCTTCTCTCAATTTCAGGCCTGACTTTTTACTCTAATACTGAACAAAGTTCAATATTTAAGACTTTCAGTCAGTCTTTAATTTCCATCTGGAGTAGCTAATTAGTCGGAAATGCGAAATATTGAATCAAATACACAAAAATATGGGTTGTCAAGTCTGCTAATCTACAAATAAACACTCCTGAGAGATATACTACTTCTGCTAAAGTAGAACGGTTAAGCAGAAGATTTTTACAGTATTCTGTTTTTCCAGCCCGATTTCATGTTAATAATTATTCCCTCATCAAAAACGTACCTGAAGTGTCGCTTTGATTCTTTCATTCATGTTTGAGAAATGTTTTAATCTGCATGGCAACCATTCAGCTGCACTAAACGCCTAGTTGGACCAAACTTCACTTTAAAAAAGCAGCTCCTCCTCTGAGTTTAGTTTCCAAGCTTCTGAGCTCCCATCTCACAGAGCAGCTCCTTCAGACTAGCCAGCAGCAATAAGCAAACACCTGGTGTGCATCAGCTGAGCTCATTATTGGAGCAACTTTTCAGTGCAACTGTGGTAAAAATGTTGTTAAAGAGTTAATAGAGGAGCCATGTTGTGACAACTTCCTGGAGCTGGAGTTTCAGAAAGAACAGGGTTTTTTAAATGACAAAGACCCAATTTTAAGGCGCAAATTTCTTTTGACATATTTGACTTGTATAACAAACTGAAGGTAACATACATACCTGATTGTGTCATAAAATGGCACTATGTACCTGGATAATACCTAATGTTGCCTCTTTAGGCCTAGAGGTATTCATATATAATAAAATTAAGTAAAAATTGTGCCACTTGAAAAACTAAAAAAATTATTTACTCTTTAACTAGAATTTTCATTTTCCCTTTTTAATAATGAGTGTAGAAATATTTATTTGCATTTCAACAATCAAGCATCCTTTCAGAGAAACTTGTGTATCGCAATAACTTCTGGTACAAAATTTATCTTGAGACTTATTTTCTATTCTATTCTAAACATTAGTAGTTTCTGTATCATTTTATTGAAAGCTATTAAGGTCCTGCTCCAAGGTAAAAACTGATGTTTATGTCAAAACTCAGTAGTAGGTATTGAAAGTGCCCTTTCGTTAAATGCCTGGAAAACCAATGAATATGTGGCTGAAACTCTCCTGTTTTGGTTTTTGTTAGGCGTTTTTGATGTCGTTTTTTCCCGTCCTTATGTGCAGGGTTATGGTTTCCCCGTTTCCCAGCTGTTTGACATGCTACTGGAAATGAGGGAGCAGTACGGAGAAATCCTGCTGAAGCGATGGAACATCACTTTCAGGTAGGGATCAGGTTGTGCGCTGCGGTTATCAGAAGGTCACGAGGAAGCTGAGGCCTTTCTCAAAACGGGGGCAGGCGGGGTTTGAAGTTTTACAAGCAGCCAGAGAGAGGAAGCGCTTTAAATTGTGTCCGGAAGAGAATGGGTAGTAGCATTCAGGAGTCGGGTTGGGCCAATGTGTGTTTGGGCCCGACGTGCCATTGTTCCAGCATCCCTTTTGTCCCGTGACACCACTGGGATTCGTAGCAGTGAGAACGGACAAACAAACACACACATTCCCTCTCTCCTTCCTCTCTCTTTCTCGTTCACACACAAGCACTTGGGAAGCCACAGGAATGTTGTGTTGCATTGTTGGGGAGAGAGCCCTCTCCGGTTCATGGACTCTCCATGGAACGCTGGAACGTCCGAGCTCCGGAGCGCCAAGAAGAAGTGGGGGTGTTGACTGAAGGGAGGGTGGTAAGAAAACCTCAAGCATCAGAATGACCCCCAGTGGGACGTGTTGGTTGTTTCTGAGAAGGAAAAACAGAGACTCATGGTGTCTTTCTCTCTTGTTTTATAGCATCTAAGCAGGAGATCGGAAAATATTTACCTGACATTTCTGTTTGCTTTGCTGCAGGCAGATTCTGGACCAGGACAACTTCAGTCCAATCCCAGTTTCTACAGAGCAGGAATACAGACAGTACACGTCTCAATTTCCCCTCCAAGACCCGGAACTGGAAAAGGTAGAGAGCTGCGACCTTGAGCTAGGCCGAAAACCCACAGCAGATGATCCTAAAGCCAACATAAAACTCAATTTGTCTTTTAGCTTAGCTTCCCCAAGAAGCTTCCCTTCTCTGAGTTTGTGCCAAAAGCCTACTGCCAGCTGAAAGAGTTCATCTATGCTTGCCTGAAATACTCTGAGGATCTTCATCTCAGGTGAGCTTCTTGGTTGTCCAATTCCTCATGAAAAATTATAGTATTATACTGAACTCAAGTGCTTGAGTCCACTCAATTTAGTGTCATAAGAAAAGTCCTGCAGCATACAAGTAAAACAGGTGAAAACAAAAAACATATATCACTACTTTTAGATAGAAATAAACATCAGCAAACGTCACATGTGGGGTTCCTCAGGTATGTGTGCTCGGGCCACTTGTTCAATTTCAAGGGAAAAATTATATCATATGGGTAAAACTTACATAATATACCAACAAATTGTAAAACTTTCCTGGTATATAATTGTTGTTTGTTGGTATGCAACATTTATTATCACATACCAACAAACGTGACAGGTGGGGTTCTCAAGGCGGTCTACTTTTTGTTATTTAATGTGTAAAAATTTAATAAAATACCAATAAGTTGTAAAAATGTGTTATCATGTTGTGTTTTTGGGCCATTTTTACTCAACTTAGTTGGCAAAAATTGAATCATACAGTGATAGAAATTATATATGATGGTTGTTGTATGTCACATGTGCGGTTCCTCAGGGCTTTATTGTCAGTCCACTTTTATTCAATGTATTGGGTAAAAATTGCATAAAATATCAACCAATTGTGAATATTATATTACATACCAACTATTTTCACATGGGGTTCCTCAGGGCTGTTGTTTTGGGACTCTTTAATGGGTAATAATTGTGCAGTATGAGCCTAAGTTCACACATTTTAATGTTTTACACAGGTCCTGGCTTGCAGACAGTTGACTAATTACTTTGCAGAATATTATTTTATCTTGACAATAATAATGTTTAAAAAATATACATATATATTCTATGTTTTTCAATAATATGAGTTTTATGGGAAAAGCCTTGAGCCCTTCTGTGAAAATTTCACATTATTAACCTGTTTATGCAGTTGCCAATCAATCAACCAGGTTTATTTACAAAGCACATTTCAGCAGCAAGGCGGTTCAGTGTTTTATATCATAAAAACACAAAAATACAAAATCATAAAAAGCAACATATAGTCAACAGTTGCAAAAACTAGTAATAAATAATCAAAATCATCAATACACATCAAAGTTACCTACAGTGTGTTTCTGTTCATGGTGGATTAAAGTGTTAAACTATGCAGCTACTTTTCTTTTAAGTAGACAAGCGATCCAGAAGTGGCTTCCTTCCTGTCCGGAAGGGTTGAACAAAGCTGGGTCTCAGCCAGTCACACGTTGAACAACATGCACACACATGCAGGAAAGCAGACAGAAACCAACTCGCCCTGAATCACGATGCTTGAAGAAAGCAATCAAATCAATGGATAGAAAATAAATTGGAGAGGGTGGAAGCACTGATTTGTGATTGGAGCAGAAACAGGAGAACGAGTGATTACTCTTTGGCTTAAGACTGAAAGGAAGGAACTGCTGCTTGTTAGAAGATGTTAGAAGATGAATATGTCAGGGCTCTTGGCGTTTTGCTTTGTTTGACATATTGTGAATATGAACCAGTTCTGTTCTCTTATAAAGCCCACAAGCCAACCTGAACAGAACGGAGTGGATCTCCAAGTGAAAACCTCCTTCTAGTCTCTCTGACCAGGCAGGACAAATTGCTGCCCTCAATCAGAGTAATGATCCCAACTCTTTGAGCTCCCTTGATTTCTACCGTCACGCACGCCCTGCTATCCGGCTTCCTGTCGACTTCAAACATGCGCTGGCTCGCAGAAACGGAAGCAGACGGGATGATGGAGCCGGATTATAGTCACCGATATCCCTGACCTCTGGGATCAACCTCTGCTCACGTTTGTAATTAGGCGGAAAGAAGCGACCAACGCACTTTGGTGCCCTTCGTAGAGACGAGGACAATGGCCTTAAAGGAAACTTGTGATGCCACGCCTCGCTTTTAACTCCTTAGCTGTAAAACCTGGGATCCATCCAGCCTTTTACGTCTCGGTTGTTTTAAGTTGATTAGTTGTTTGCCTGACTGTCAATTTTGGAAAATGAAGAGATGTTTGTTGTCTTGTAGATCAAACCCTTCTTCTTTTTTTAAATAGCATGTTCTCTTGTCTTTCCTAATCTGAAGAAAGCCTGAGAGAAATGGACTCCTGTGTCACATTGGTATTTATACTACAGGAAACTGTGAATATGAGTCAAAATTTCCTCAAAAGTCTGATTACCTTTAAAAAGTTAAGTGCTTTATTTAGACTATCCATTTCTAAGACTCAATATGAATGTTAAAATTCATCACTATTGTGACATTATCAGCATTTAAGAGAGTAAATGCTGATAATGTATTTACGGAAAACAACAAACAAAATTAATTTTAGCGTGTTAGAACTAGATCTATAAAGGAGCTCTCGATTTTCTGGTTCTTCTCAGAGAAGACAAATCAATCCGATTATCACAAATCAAGTCATTTACTAGCAAATTCTTTGAAGAGAGAAAACTTATGTTCAGTAAAGCATGTAGATGGTCGTATATTTTCCTCAGTTTTCCTCAAAATATTCACCATTTATCGCCACCGTACTTTGACTTACAAAATGTAAACATGTTCTTACTTAATTTTATTATTGCATCCCTGAGTTTAATCCATCCGTGGTTTATATATTTGACTGTAATCTCTGATTTTGAGGACTTCTCTCCCTCCTCCTGCTTTTAACCACAGATGGTTGGTAAAGACATCACTTTGCGACTTGACAGAGACCTGGATGCTAGCTTGGCTGGCGCTTTGCAGATAGAGCTCTGTGATTGTTCCTGGAAGAAAAACGGTGATGAGGTGGTGAAGACATGAACATCCGTGGGAAAGAAAGCGACTCGTCGGAAATAAGGGGAATATTTTGACAGAGGTTTTCTTGTGTAATCCCCTGAAAAAATTGTGGAAAGATTGAAGAAAGTGAAAATGAAAGGTGCCGACGACTGAAAGAAAATCTCAGCATCTCCGGTAGAAATTAATATTCATATAATAAAACTAAAAGGGAAAATATGTCAACTTTTTAAATGCATCTACTGACATTTCTACTGTAAATATAGACACACTCTAGTTATTTAGAATAGCTCTGAAACTGCAGCTTAACCAGCAAATAACAGGATATTCACCTTCTATAAACTTTTGACATTTGTACCCTGAACAAATATATTTCTAGGATACATAAATATAATGTTGCAGTCAATATCTCCAGTCACATAAGGGAAACCATGTCTGGACTTTTAACATGTTAATTTGATTAATTATATAGATCTTAACAGGTTTAAGATTTTAACGCAGTTAATCAGTACATTCTCAAATTAGAATATTACATCAATCCAATGAAAAACATTTTAATACAGAATAAAAAGTTTTAATCTGACAAATAAGCTTCACTAGAACTTGGCACTTTGCACCAATCTGATGGATTAATAACGGATTAAAAACAATAAATATGTTTGTTGTTGAGCTCATTTGTGTATTCATTCAGTAATTTACCAGTTTTTGACTTGATAATGTTGCTTATTTTGTCGATTTGTTTTCGATAAAACAGACCCTGTAATTAACTCGACTAATGACTTCAATCAAGTCCCACCACTTGTTTAAATGTGTGTGAGATATTTCCATCAGTCAGTTAGCATTGCTGATAGCAGCATCAGCCTTGTTGTATGTGTTGGATGGCCCTCAGCCGGTATCCCTCCATCCATCCCTCAGCGTGTTGTTAACATGTCTGCGTTGAAGTCGTCTGGCCTCTCTTTGACAGAGCCGACCGCCGGCTGTTTATTGTGACTGATGGCAGCATAAATACAATGAAATTCGATCTGAGCCCTGCGGCGCGGCTATATTTGTACACCCACAGAGTTCACTACGATGCATTGACTTTTTGCCTCTCTCTGCACACATTCTTTATGTCCACTCTGCACTTCTGCTGCTCCAGGATTTCTTTTTTTTTCTTTTCTTTTAGATTTTTTTTCAGGCCCCCCTGAGTTGTCGGAACGTTTTTTGGATTCTTGAGCTTCTTTGGAAGCGGACCGGGTTTTGGGTTCCAGCGTTCGGCCTCCCTCAGGCGGAGCTGCATGCGTCTGTGTGTGTTTAGGTTGAATTCCAAGCGCAATTTACTGATTTGGTTGGAATGATTCTGTGTGTGTTATCCGCAGGGTTCTGGAGTCAGAGACGGAGGACAGAAAAAAAATAAAAATAAAGAAACACAGATTATTCATCATTTCTCAGTGGGAGAAACCGATCCTGCTCTTTTCTGCTGATTATCTGTGTGCGTTTCACCTCTTCAGACCTTTACATGGAACCCTCTGACTCCTTCTGCATTTTGTCGCGCAGTTTGATTCTTCCAGGAACCTGATATTAAACTCCCTTCCAGGGGAATTTGCTGCCATGCAAAACGTTACTGGACTCGCTGGTAACACTGTGCAGAAATTTGTCTGAGTTTCCTCACCAAACATCAGCCCCATTTCAAGCAAAACAAAATGGATAGCATGTCAGTCATTCTGCTAAGCTGCTCTGCGTTGCTGACATGGACTTTCTTTATTAGGTAACTTGAGCTCGTCTCAGGGTTTTGCCTGGTTGGCGGTGCAGAGTTGGTAATTTGCCGACCATTAAAATCATGTAAGAAAACGTTTCCAAAAAGGATGACTGGCTTTTTTTTTTTTTTTTTTTTTTTTTTTTTTTTTTTTTTTGGATCATTTTTAGTTTCAACAGGGCTCAGATTATTTAAACTTCATGGTCTCATCAGGAGATATAAGAAGAACTTTTTAACGAATCTGACAGATTAAAACATGATAAAGATGTTAAGGTTGGTTGACATTTAGACTTTTTTTTTTTTTTTTCCCCCAAATGGAGAAATTCACTTTTAACTGTTTTTGCTGGCATTAAGACAGAGTTAAGTGTGTTGCTCTTCTCTTTGCTCATGTAAAAGTTTTTCACTTTTTTTTCCTGGAACCACCACCACAGGTTTTAATTTGATTTATCAAGTTCTACCTCATACACCAACGCAAAACAGTATATAACTGTAATCGGAAGATTTGTGTGACAAGTATACATTCCTATTCAGCCCCCTTTACTCTCACACCCTGAAATAAAGTCCCCTAAACAGAGCAATCTGCTTCTGTAGTTATGTTTCCGTCCACATGTGGAGCAAACTTTTAAAATATAGCAAAAAAGGTTTTGCAAAGAGTGCAAAAACTGTTAGTCTCTAAATGCTTAAAGGAGACATATAATGCAGAATTTATCTTTTGTTAATTTTAATTTTTCCATTTGGGTTTCTGCTGTTTCTGAAAACATTTGGCAATTTATTTGGCAACAAATTGATGTCTTTTGGGTGATTGGTAAACAGGCGGTTTCAAAAATGTCCCAAATATTGAGTCACATTCGATGGACTTACCTTGCAACCACACTTTCTAGATTTTTACTTTTTAAAAGAAACTATGAATCATTTTCCTTTCACTTCACAATATTGCACTATTTTTGGTGTATGGCATTAAAATCTGAAGTTTGTGATAGATTTGGAAAAAGTGAAGACTCTGTGAGCTCACGTGTTTCTTTGTCTTCAGTTCCACAGAGATCGACGACATGATCCGCAAGTCGACGAATCTGCTGTTGACCCGAACCCTCAGTAACTGCCTTCAGTACGCCATTAAGAAGAAACGTGGGCCTGGCAGAGGTAAAGAGGATCATAGTAATCATCATAATTATTATTATTATTGACCAAAACTGAAGAAGATAACTGGAGAGGAGGAGTTCATAAAAATTAAACTTTTTAAAATCCCTGAAAAATTACCCAAAATGGCCGACTTCCTGTCGGTTTGAGACAGGACTTTTTGTTCTATCTATATACCAAATTTGAAGTATCTGGAGTCCAATATAAATACTTACATTTCATGAAAAAAAGGACCAAAATTATTTCATTTAATTTTGGTCCTTAGATCAGTCAATCAATCAATCATCAGTCAGTTCAAAGGGCTTTACATCTTAAAAATACAAAGTTATTAAAAACACCTTACAGTCAACAGTTGAGAAACCAGAAACAGACATTACATTTTGATGAGCGCCAACATCAAAATCATAAATACCCTCAAATATGTTGGTCAATGATCCATTTATTATGGTTCAAAAGCAATTCTTAAACATCTGGGTTTTAGCCTTGATTTAAATAAACTCCATGTTTCAGTGTTAATGTGGCTTAAAATTCAAAGTTTCTTCCTGTAAGTTAAGAGAATTTTCCTGATTCCGCCTTAAGATTGTGTTGCTTTGCTATCATTTTCCTCAAACTCGGATGTATTCGATTACAGATGGATCATTTAAAGTGCCCGGTGTCGGTGTTTGTTTTTGTAGTTGGTGCAGGTGATCATCAACACCACCCACCTGGAGCAGAGTTGCCACTTCCTGGAGGAGTTCATAACCAACATAACAAACGTCCCGCCTGAAACGGCCAACGCCACCAAACTGTACGGGACCGCAACGTTTAAGGTCCGTTTATCTTCCCGCCTTCATTTCTACACACAAACCAGCTGCTTGTTCACCTTCAGTAGGCTGATAAGCTTTTACTTTTGTTTTTGTTGTATTTTTTTTTTTGTATGTCTTTGTTGTTTAATTTAAAAAATAATTCTTCATTTAACAATATACATATTCATAAATCCAACATAATATGCTTATTTTGATACATCTCTGGAAAAAATGAAGATGCCACTTTAAATTATCAGTTTCTTTAATTTTCTATTTATATGTTAATTAATTTAGAAACAACAATACTAATGTTTTAACTCAGGAAGAGTTCAGAAATCAATATTTGGTTGAAAAACCAGGAGGTTTAATGCAGTGGGCTCTTATAATTCCAGAGCTGTAGATACACATATATACACTTAGTCATATAAACATGGATGCACAAAATTTCTGAATATAAACAAAAAGATGCAGTCAGAGAAATGTATCTCTAAATGTTTATATGTATTAGATATAATCTTCCTCTTACTATTTTCCTCTCTGCGTTCTAAATGGTCTTTCCTGTGGCTTACTTGTTACTTCAAACGATCACGGCTGTGCTGGAACAGGACGCCCGCCATGCGGCCGAGGCGGAGATCTACACCAGCCTGAATGCCAAGATCGACCAGTTTCTGCAGCTGGCGGATTACGACTGGATGTCTGCGGCGCAGAGCAGCGGCGGTCTGACGACCAGCGACTACCTGGTCGACCTCATCACGTTTTTGAGGAGCACGTTCAGCGTCTTCACCAACCTGCCGGTTAGCAAACACGCACGCACACACTGTTGCAGTAGATTTACAGTACATTAGTAGACAGTATGGGGGGAATAGACAAAGCTGTTACAATATGATCCTACAAGCGCCGTAATAAGATACAAATATAAGAATATAAACATTTTCTTTGTTTTATTTTATATTTGTGTCATATTACTTTGTTTGTAGGACATTTAAAGAATCAGTTTTACATAAAATTGACTTTTTTTCTTTGATAATGTTATTCTCTCATCAACTGGGTTGTTGCTTTGATTCTTTTTTGTGTGTTTGAGAAATCCTTTCATTTCCATGACAATCATTCAGCTGTGCAAAACGCCTGGGTGGCCAAAGCCCCGCCCACAAAGACAAAGCTCCTCCTCAGAGCTGAACATTTATTTTAAAAAATTATTTCAAATATGACAGTTTGGAGCATTCGATGTCATGCTGCGCAAAATGAATTTAGGTCTGGAACGATTCCTCGAATGATTCGAGTATCTCGATTATTAAAATTCCTCAAGGAAATTTCATCTGTTTTGAAGCTTCGATAAATAATGTTTTCTTATGTAACGCGCCGTGTTGTGGGCAGCGCTCTTACTTCCGCCTATGAGTTGTTGTGAAGTGCTAACTGCACGGCGAATTGTCAGGGTTTGGTGGCAAATATGTATTGCTGAAGTTTGCGGCGTGATGTTTGGAGTGCGGCAGCTTTTCTGCCGTCGGATCCGCGTCGTCACAGAATATTCCAAAATAGTCCTAATTTAATTGTGATGATGAAAACTGTGATGACAGTATTGATTACAGTAACTCGTATTTTTTTCTTTCTTAATCTTTCCAAAATGTCCTGACCACTGAGGTTTGGCATCTCTGCAAAAACACAAACTCTTACCAAGTCATTTTGGCCCAGATTCTAGTGCAAATATTTTAGTGCATTTCAAATGAGACAGAACTAATTGACAAGTAACTTTTCAGCAAAATATAGGAGCTTGATTTAAGTCAATAACTCATTAATATTGATGAAAACGTGATTGGTCCATTGGTAGATTATTTCCACTCATAATAAGGCATTTTCCCATGATGTAAGTGAAATAGTCATTTTTCTGCCATTTTAAGGAATTAACTTAAAACAAGCTCCTATAACTTACTGTAAAGTTACTTATAAGTCAGTTTCATCTTATTTTAAGTGAAGAGAAACTTGAAACTAGACCAAAATACTTGGTAAGACTTTGTGTTTTTGCAGTGTACCGCTAGAGGTATACATCTGGTTTGAGCTTTACGGGCATTTAGAGTCCATTTAAATTTCAGTACCATAATACTGATAAAAATATAGATTTCTGTAATCGTTGAGGATTTCTGCTGTTTGGTTTGAAAGCGCCTCATCGTGTCAGAGGGCTGCACAATCTGCTTTAGTTCGTTAGTGGGATCGTTAAAGGGTGAGCGGGTCGGGTCAGCAGCCCAGGATTATCCGCAGGCCATTGACACTAAAGCCCCAGCGGGAATCGCCTTACGCTCAGTCAGGATGCCGCAGTGCAACATTTACAGCTTGTTGAGCGTGTTTCACAGGGCAGCCAGAAAATTGATAAATCCTATTAATTCAGTATGCTTAAAGCTTATTCAGGTATCCAAATGTAGCAATACATTTAAATAAAAATAAAAAACATTCCTGTAAATGTGTTATTTTAAAGATCTTTATGAGCTGCATGTGACTCCAACTGGGAACACAGTTGATTCGTTTTTAGTTATTTACATTTTTAATTAAATGTAGGAAGTTAATTAAATCTGAATTAACATCAGTATTGGTTGATGTTTTATTTTTTTATGTATTTTAGAGTCAAGTCGTGCTACTTTGTAGCACAATGAAGTTACTTTCAGATGTAATAAAAAGCTACATTAATGACACGACTAAATAGAAATTTAACACCTTGAAATTGGGCCTCTGTCTCTTTAAGAAATGTCTGCCCTATCCAACCTGCTGCCTTCAGTACTTCATCACAGTTTCTCCATTCACCATTTCAAAATGTTTTTACCAGCATTGAGCTGAGATGTAGCTGCTACAATGAGCTCAGTTTCACCAGGTGTTTGCTAATTGCTGCTGGCTAGTCTGAAGGAGCTGAGTGGGTGGGTATGTTTGTGATGGGGAATATTATTATTACATTATTGTTTTTCTCTTTTCCTCTCTTTCTGAGAAAAATTGGATGACAAAAGTCTTTGGTCCAGTGCTTTGGTTTCAACTAACCCTTTTTTTGAAGAACATTTTTGCTTACATAATTCATTGTGTCTGTTTTGTTACTTTATTTTGGATAATTACAATGTCTTGGAATCTTTTTGTTAAATATTCATTAGAATTTAAGGTTTATTGATCTTTGAATAATGTTTTCTTTCCAATATTATATATATATATATACATATATTTATGAAGTTTCATTTGGTAAATAATGACACTTTTATTGCAAAGTTGCATTAAAACTTGCGTTAAAAGTCCATTAATAGGTAGATGGGTCATTTTATTTATATAGCATATTTTCAGCAGCATAGAGAGTTCAAAGTGCTTTACATGAATTAGAAGAAAATACAAACAAAACAACAAAACCAAAAGAAAGACAAAAATATTAGGGTAACAGCAAAAAAAGTTAAATATTGGTTCTCCATGTTTGATTCTGGGATCGCTAAGTACTCCACGATTTATAAACTAACAGGCGGTCGTAGACATTCATGAACATTCCTTCATGTTCAAATAAAGTCTTTACCAGTTTGACCTCCTGAAACCTGCATTGATTGGACAAGTTGCCAATCAAAGACCAGTATTAATATCAGAAATCAATATCAACCCAAACTTTCATATTAATGCATTCCAAATCATATGGTTTCAAAAACCTACAAGCTTGTTTTTATCTGCATTCCTGCAGGGTGATCATATAAAAGTTAGAGAGTCAGACACCTACAGACCATTTCTTTCAGTCTGTTTTGATCAAAGGTCACGAACAGATTCATATGATGCAAACACACAGCGAAATCAGCTTTAAGGTGATTAGGCGCCCAGATTTGGACCAGCCGGGTCACAAGGCCACACACAGGCCACACACACTGCTAAGTGTTTCGCAGCACATCTAATCAGCTTTTCCTTCACACCCTCCCACAGACCCGGACACGACCCCATCACACATGCTTCAACGCGGACTCAAACGCGGCGTGAGGCCTCTTAAGTAGATCAGACGCTATGGATCTAAACGCTGGGTGGTATGACCCCGCTCAGATAAAGGCTGGTGGTGTGAAACAGGCGAGTTATGAGGGAATGAAGCAGAGCTACAGAAATAAATTCTTTTAATATACTGAATTGTTTTGAGGCTAATCCACACTCACCTGACACTTTATTAGGTGCAATAAAGTGTCAGTAATTTGTGAGCTATTGCTGTCTTTTTTCAAACTTTGTTCCAGATTTTTGGTTCATAATTTTGTTGACATTTGATAAAATTACAATTTTGCTGAGGTAAAATCTGAAAGTGATTAATATAATATCTGTCTGAGTTCCAGCTGGTTTTATCAGCTGGGTTTCAGCCTTGATTTAAAGAACTCAGTATTTCAGCTGTTTTTCAGTTTTCTAGAAGGTTGTTTCAGATTTGAGGTGCATAGAAGCTGAATGCTGGTTCTCCATGTTTGGATCAGAGGATGTAGAGCTTTAATGCAGTAACTAATTACGAAACAATCAATAAACACTTTTGGTTGTAGTTACCCAGAATGCCTTTTACTGTAGTCCACTTCCTGTTTTTGGAGCGCTTGTTGTTCTCTTGTTGAACCGCACCAGAGTTCAGTTCAACCAAACCAAGACTGAGGTTTTCAGATGGGCCACCGTTTGCATTTCTTGGTGCGCTTTAGAGATTGATTGAGTCTTCACACCTTCGCTAAACAACCGAACTTCCAATACAAACAAAGAGTTCAATTAAAGTGCATTGAACATGGCTGCTGTAGAGCATTATTTAACATTTTGAATCCCATTATTTGAATCCCTTCTGCATTTCCTACAAAACAAAGTTGCTTGGTGCCGGCCGTTTTTCCCTGCCGTCATTTTATCCCCACTTTGCTAATGGACATGACTGTATGTTAAAACGCACAAATTAGTGATTTATTTTAAAATATTTCTATTCCATCTGCACCAAAATGACTAATTAGTAAAACACAGTAGATGTGGAGGACAGTTTGGAGGACAGAAGTTCTTTGGCCAGTTTCTATTTAGTGTTTGCATGTCTGTGGACATCCTGCTGGAAGCGGCTCTGTACTGAGATGAACCTCAGCAGGATCAGGTGTCTTCTTCAGCTTTGGACGCTGTAAACACGCGTCTTCGCCGCCTCCTGTCTCTGCAGACGTTATCCAGGAGCTAATGGCTTCACTCGGAGTTGGACGCCACTGGATAGCGCTCATAATTTAGCCAGGCTCAAATTATCGGGATGGAATGAGGATGACGGGAAAGGCCTCAGGGGGTGAAAGTGATCATGTAAGAATTAGGAGGGAATTTTGGACTCGCAAGCTTCCAAGTTTCAAGATCCAAAAGCTACTTGACCTGTTTTCTGTTGTGACCTGATTGCCATTTTTATTTTTTGTGGCGATGCTTTATCACGTCAGAGTGGCTGAGGTGAATTAGCTTAACCTCCGCAGTCCTTGTGCGATACTTTTACTGCTCTAACTTTTCATTTTCCCAATGAAGCAATGGGATTTGGATGTTTTCAGTGCAGGTAATGTCTGTATATGTTTCTGTAGGGAATGCCTGTAGAGCACGCCACCTTGCCGGTGAGTATTGGCGTGAGAAATGCAGTGGCGTTTACCTTACTGACCTGCTTAACCCTGCGGTCCGGTCCAACAGCAAGCATGTGGGAGAGGAACGCAGCAATGCATGTTTGAACTTGATGTGGTTAAATGTGTTTCTCTGCTGCAGTAAGAAAGAAATAACTGCTCACCTGCTCATGTTGTGTGTTCAAGTCAGTTTAATTAACTGGATTTATGCTTAACACATTTGCTTC